CCCCTAATTGAAATTAATAAAAGGTTCAATAATACCAACTTCTTGCCATCATGGTAATAAGGAAAAAATATTTGAAAAGACTTCCCAACAGGTAACTTTTGATATTCATAGTCACATTCACAACACACATATTGATAATGTTTTTCCAATGTTGATGATGCTAAATTGAGAACCACCTTTGCATATTTTATGGCAATATAAACCATTTTTAGGAGTAATATCCTCATCTTTGCACTCTCTTAAGCTTATATAGTGAATGCAACACTTGTTCTGGAAAATAAGAACATCCAATTCAATTAAGGCTTATTTGATTAGACTCTATTCTTTCTTCATAAATCCCTAAACCTTTACATATGTATAATTTTTTAAGGATTATTTTATTAAATGTTATGCTAAACTTCATAAACTTGCAATCCAACTTGTCGCAACACTTGATATGATCCCTTTCACTAAGCAAGGAACCCCTTAAACAAACCATATACCTTAAAATTAGGAAAATGAACTAATACTAAATTATCCACTTCATACTCCTCAGGTGGATGATGATGGAAATTATAATGTCATTATTGCCCCACTTATATGTAACTTAAATATTTAATATACTTCAATTGAACCAAAATACTCATCAAATACTGATATCAAAACTAACATCATTAATCACAAAGGTAAACTTAACTCTATTGGTAATATCAAATCATGACTATATAAGAATTTATATAGTGAAGTACCAATAAAACTTTATACCCTTAAAAAATATATATATTAAAAAGAAAATAAATAATTATCCCAATCCAAATGCTAAAAATTAAGATACTTTGCTATCATTCCTTTAAAGGTCCAAATGAGCCATTTCACTAAACTAGCTATTTATGGATAATGAATACTTATGAAAGTGTGTTATATCCTCAATTAAGATGTCAAAACATTAAATATCTTAGCCATAAAAGTGGGATTATTATCCAAAAAAATCCACTCTAGACAAAAATGTTGGAACACCATTCAATTGAAGATTAAAGTATTTAACAACAATCTCATATGCATCAGCAAGAGCACTAACTTCTAATCAATGAATCAAGCAGTTAAGATAGTAATGACATAGTTGACTATAGAAAAAGCCTTATTAAATTAAATGCCATCAACTCAAATAAATAAAAAATTACAATTAACTCCAATTATCCTTTCGCAGAATAAAAGGGCCCACTTCCCACAGCTGTAGCTTCTTTCTTCATCACCATCACCTTAAAATATTGCTCTTTACCTTGCTTGTGGTACTCTCCTCTTTTACCTTGCCCCTAGTACTCTTGCTGCTTATAGAGACTTCTAAAAAAATCCCTATGCACCATCTATTGGACGAGCTCCTCACCAAGATTTTGAAAACCATTATGAAGCACAAGAATCTTGACAAGTTTCCCAGCAGCCTTGGCCTTAGAAATTCCCTCTTCAGCTGGTAGAAGAAACATCTGCAGAGGCTTGTTCTTGTATACTGTAGCTCTTGCCTTCACAATTGCTGATAGACTATTGCAGAAAATCTGATGCACCACTATCAGAGTCTTGATTTAGAACCTATGTGGCTATAATCATTAGGCTTGTTCTTCCACTGCACACCCTATCAATGGGATTGCCAAGCTGAAATATTTACCCATACCAAGCCATGACTTCCTCCCATGTCTCTATGTGATCCTTGTTTTTCTTCTCCATCAAAAGACATACACAGAGCATTTATTTTATCCTCCCCCTCTACTTTGTTGTTTTGTGCTGCACATTCAAAAGCTGGAGATAAATGTTAAAATCTTCACCAAGCTTGTAGGTTAGGTATTTCACATGGAAGATCTTTTGATTAGGCTACCCAAGTGTGCAACTTAACAGACATTAGCACCTCCCTAATCTTGTCACCATCCCATCCCTAGCGAGCCAGTATTCCACCATCCCCAAAGCATAATTCCACACTTGCTAGATCCAAAGAGCCTACTGCTGTTGTGAGCATGCTTTTCCATGCAAATTGTCACCTCCATGTCTACACCAGTGCATGGTCTCTCAAGCTTTGCAGTCTCAAAATAGATTCTGGGAACTTTGAAAGTGTCGTTACGTAACAGCACCTTGTTCTCTTGGTGAAGGAACTGCCTCACAAAATCTGCTGGCACCTTCCCATCTAGTTCTTGAGCTGCCCCAAAAGCAGCCAGCTTCTCAAACCCCAGACCGATCTTTGAGTGATCACCTTGTCCTTTGCTGATAAGCATGTCTTGACAGGAGTCTGAGTCAGTCATAAAATAGTGATAGAGCACTTTGAGTACAGCAGGTTCCTCAAGCCTTATCCAGTGTTCTGAGAAGAAGTCATCAATGTTCTTGAGTTCCAATTGGCTTTTATTCGTCAACCAGGCTAAACCATATTCCACCAACTGAAGCGATGGGTCCTTGATCTTGATGAGAGTCGAAGAAGATCCAAACATTTGGTGGTAAAGTATCACCTTGAATTCTTGCATGGCAGCAAGATCGCTAGGAACAACAGATCCTACTTAGGAACAGAGGACCTCTCCTTGCCATTGGAAGTTGCCATGTGATCATGGTGTAGAGCCTATGCATCCACAAAGACAACAGGGTGTCAATAAGTTTGAAATCAAGTGTCAAAAATACATCCCAACCATGTATACAATGTTTGACTTCATAAAGACGCAAATTGCCACAACTCAACATGAAATTCAGCAGATTCTGCTAGTAAAAGTTACCAGAATTTGACTGGAACTTGTGACACTCCACATCACATTACCATGTATAGAAGTCACCACCTCATGAACTGTGACACTCCATGTCACTCAAGAAGCCACTACAGCTAGCAAATTCAATCAGTGCCTTTCATCTCTACCAAACTTCAGGTGTGTGCCCAAGCAGGGCTTATGGATACATTTCAACAAGAAATGACTTACGGCGTCTCAGATGAGCTCCAAAACCACACCCTGCCACCTGACACTTCTTGCTCTCCATGTTAAACTATGAAGAATATTCGCAAAGCCTAAATAAAGGTGTGGTAAACGCTACCCAGGGCTAGGGCTTCTTCATTCCAGGTAAGAAAGAGCAATGTAGGGTCGCGCTAGCTAGGGAAGATCAAGGTCACCATGGATCTCTTACCGCCGCTGCTAAGATTGTGGCCGCCGCCGCTCCTACTGCCACTGCTCCTCGTTCTTGTGGGTTTCATCCACTGCCAGACCGACTTGGAGTGCCTCAGCGAGTTCCGCCTCTCGGTCATCGATCAATCGGGCTACCTGAGCTCCTGGTCTGCCAACAGCAGCTCCAGCAGCTCCATTTGCAACGCTGTGGGCGTCCAGTGCCTCCACCCATCCGAGGCCAAGATCTATTCCCTATCCCTCCGCGCCGCCGGCCTCTCGGGCTCCTTCCCCCGGGGTCTCGACAAATGCTCCAGTCTCACGGGCTTGGATCTCTCGGGCAACTCCTTCTCGGGCGCCATCCCCGCGGACCTCTGCAAATCGCTGCCCTTCCTCGTCCGCCTCGACCTCTCGGGCAACGACTTCTCCGGATCGATCCCCGGGGAGCTCTCCCAGTGCCAGTACCTTAACGCCCTGGATTTGCAGCAGAACCACCTCACTGGCAGCGTCCCCGGGCAGCTCGGTGTTCTTCCGCGCCTCACGGAGCTCCACCTCGAGGGCAACCAGCTCAGCGGCGAAATCCCGCCCATCCTCGCAAGTCGCCCCGCGGCGAATTTCCAGTTCCAGGACAACGCCGGGCTGTGCGGTCCGCCGCTCTCCAAGAGCTGCGGCGGCGGGTCGAAGGCCAGCGCCGGGATCATTGCCGGGACTGTGGTTGGCGGCGCGGTGATCCTTCTCGCCATCACTGCCGTGGCGTTCTACTTGAGCCGCCGGCCCAAGACGATGCGCGACGACACCACCTGGGCCAAGAAGATCAAGGCGCCGCGCAGCATCACCGTGTCCATGTTCGAGCAGTTCCTTGTCAAGATCAAGCTCTCGGATCTCATGGCCGCCACCGAGAGCTTCTCGCGGGACAACGTCATTGACGCCGGAAGCGCCGCCACCGGGGTGGCGTACCGCGCGACGCTCCGGGACGGGTCCGTGCTGGCGGTGAAGCGCCTGGCGCCCGCGCCGCGCGCTAGTAGCAGCGACGCCGCACAGTTTCAGGCCGAGGTGGAGGCGCTGGGCCTGGTCCGTCATGCTAACCTGGTACCGCTACTCGGGTACTGCGTCACGGGCGGCGAGCGGCTCCTCCTGTACAAGCACATGACCAACGGCACGCTGTGGAGCTGGCTGCATGACGCCCACGGCACGCGGGACCGGCTCGACTGGCCCGCGCGGCTCAAGGTGGCGCTGGGCGCGTCGCGCGGCATGGCTTACCTCCACCACGGCTGCAACCCACGGATCCTCCACCGGAGCCTCAGCACGCACACGATCCTCCTGGACGACGACTTCGACGCGAGGATCACGGACTTTGGGCTAGCCCGGATCGTGGCGCCCGCGGGCGGCCACCTCAATGCGGACGTGCTTACCGCCGGCGGCACGGTGGGTGACCCGGGCCACGACGCGCCCGAGTACCGCCGGGTGCCCATCACTACCGCCAAGGGCGACGTGTACAGCTTTGGCGTCGTGCTACTCCAGCTGCTAACGAGTCAGAAGCCGCTGGACGTGACGGTGGGCGATTTCAATGGGAGCTTGGTGGAATGGGTCGGGGCGCTCTACGCGAGTGGGAGGAGCGGCGACGCCATCGACAAATCGCTCAGCGGTGGCGCTGCCGACGATGGGGAGCTGCTCCAGGCGCTCAAGATCGCGTGTGGGTGCGTGCTCTACGCGCCCAACGATCGCCCATCCATGCTCGAGGTGTTCGAGCAGCTGAGGAAGATCGGGGAGAGGTATGATTTCACTGACGAGGGCGATGAGATCCCGATTGCCGCGGCTGCTAGCGATGAGACAGCGGCGACGCAGCAGCGATCCAACGGGAATGGGGCGAGCTTGTGAAGGAGATCGATCGTTTGTGACAGTATATTGCTAATAGCTAATGCTTGAAAATGCAAGTGCTTGGATTAGGGTTCTTAGCGATGTTTGTGGAGCTGCTGCTCGCGACGCGGCTAGCGGCGGGATGATTCTTGCTGCGAGCAATGGTGGCAGGATCTTCCGGCGGGTGAATTTGGGGCAGGGATGCTCCGGTCCGTGCTGTTCTTCGCCTCGATTCTCCATCTCCAAATTGGTGTCGCCCTCTCGCGGTGATGAGGGCAAGCAAGCACAGCAGCAGCATTCGCTGAGTAGGAAGATTAGCAACGACGATCTGTCGCGCTACGGGCTGGATCAGTCGGATTTCGACGTGATGAGGAAGGTCCCGGATCAAATTCTCTACGAGGAGGACTCGGACGATTGGGCTGCCTATCTCCTCCTCTCCGCCGATTGCAAGAGGACCTACGTGGGGATTACTCGCAATGTCCATCGCAGGTACCTCAAAAGCTCTCTTTGAGCTTGTTTTTCTCTTGGATAAATTGGTCATTTGTCGCTCGAGTTCATGGATTGATCGCGCTAAAGTTTCGACGATTTTGTTCCAGGTTGAGACAACACAATGGAGAGCTCGTTGGTGGATCCAAGTCGGGGCGCGTGGGGCGGCCGTGGAGGCTGATTTGCACGGTTCGCAGCTTCGACACTCGCAGCGAAGGCAAGGACAGAGAAAAAAAAAGAAAACTTCTTTTGATCGACTCAAGCTGATAGGAATCGTTCGTATCTCTGTTTTCCAGCTTCGCAATTCGAGTACTTGTGGAAATCGCTGACGAGAACAGTCACTGGCTTCAAATCCGAGCCACCAACAAGCAGTGATAGCAGCGACGATCGAGGCCCCGATCGAAGCGGCGACGCGAGGAGCATCGCAGCGTTCCACCACGTTGTGCGTCGCCGCCAGGCAGCGCTCGAGCAGGTTCTCGATCGAAGCGACGAGTGGAAGAGCTCCTTGACTGTAGAGTGGCACGAAGAAGAGACAGAGACCAAGTAAAGATCGGTCTCGAGTTCGATTCTCGACCCTTACTTTACCATTTCTTCCCCCTTAGAACCCTAATTCTTTCCCTCTCCGCGAGGAGCGAATGCCAACGGACTACATCAGCAATCGCTACATGTCCAAGCTCGGCGTTCCACCGCAGGCCTGGGAGGAATCCCTCGATTTCGATGAGGTCGCCAAGTATTTCTCCATGACCGTCGCGGAGGCCGCCAATATCCTTGGTACGTGAAGATTTTCGTAGCTGGAGCAGCTTAGAACGATCGATCCGCTTGTGACAGGTGTTTGCCAGGCGACTCTGAAGCGAATTTGCCGAGAGAACGGGCTCTCCAGATGGCCGCATCGAAAGGTACGTAGAAATTTTTCCTTTCTCTCTTTTAGATAAAAATTTTCTATGCTGATCAACGGATGTTCTATAGTTTATGGGTGGAAAAAGCGTGGAAGAGATCAAACAAGATGCTTTGAGAGCCAAGCAATTCCAGGCTCAAGAAAAAATGTATAACCCACAACCCAGCAACTAGTAAGTTTTTTTTTCTCTTCTTTTATTGAAGAAAAAAAGACGTAAACTTCGTTTTTTTTTTTTTTTGCAGTGGTCAAGTTCCTTCTCAGGCTTACGTGATGCAAACTACACACGCGAATTTACGACTGAGCACAACTGCGACGTATAGAACGAAGATGCCAATTCCATCCTTTCTGGACGACTTCCGGAACGGTTATCCTCTCAAGAACTTGGATGCTGTCTCTGATCGCTGGTGGGGAGGTTCTCCAGATGTGGATGATACCAGCAGCGATCAAGCTCAAGCTCGCAGCGCAGATTTTGCCGAGTCCGTGGTGGACGCGACGCAGCTGGTAAATCTTCGCAGAAAACGAGCGGAATCACTGGAGAGAGCGCTTGCTTCACCAATCTCCAGGGGCTACGATGGATCCAAAGTCGAGAGCAGCCAAGAGGAAGTTCTCAAGTTTGTGTTTGGAGAGGAGATGCCACAGCAGTGGACTTACGCATTTGATTGAAACTACTCGAGGTAGCTTTGCTTTGTTTCGTGGGATCAGAGGCAAAAGAGAATTTTTTCACAGGAACATTGCTATTTGCGGGAAGAGCTCAAGAGTTTGGATCGAGGATCATTCATCATTTTAATCGGAGAATCAAAGTACCCACCATGGTTCTGTGCCAAAGATATTTCCAAACCAAAGCACATTCTTTTTTCCGTGGTACCGTACCACTCTCTTTGTATGAGTAGACGATTTCATGCTTTTACCTGTCTTTTTAATTGGAGTTTAGTTGTTTTCCAACCGTTGGATTTTATCCGAGATGGGGACCGGTTCGATTCCGGTGCCATAGTAAAAAAGGAGAAAGTTTTGAGCTCTTGTGGGGCTTTGTTTATACGCGCGGCGAAGCGATGGAGAAGAGGGATCCCTTGTCTCTCACACCGACACGACGCAGCTGATAATCATCCCTTCCGTGCATTTCATCGATCGTTCGCTGCACTGGATGAAATCTTGGAGCTCGGCGCCGTGAGGTAATCGCTCGCTCGCATCTCCTTCTCTGTCGAGATCATCCAGGATTTTGCTCTTCTGACACATTGGTCCCGCATTCCAGCGAGGCAACGCAAGCGCTACGGATTCTCGGCTCTCTCATTGCCTCCGGCCATCGATCTCCCCGTAATATCGCTCCTATGGTGGCTCCAGGGCATGGCAGCGCCTTCTTGGCGGCGGCCTTGGCTCTATTGGCGGCGGCGGCATCGTCCTCGGGTAAGACAATCTCTAGATTCCTCTCTTCCTTTCCATTCGATCGATTGATCGATCGATGGAATGCCATGCCACAGGCGCATTCATCGGTGTCAACTACGGCTCCCAGGGCGACAATCTCCCCAGGCCCCAGCAGGCAGTGGATTTCATGCGAAACAATGGCATCACCCAGGTCCGGATCTTCGACGCCGACCCGGACATCCTCACAGCGCTGGCCGGCACAGGCATCCAGGTGATCATCGGGCTCACAAACGCGGAGATCCTCAGCGTGGGTCACTCGAGCGCCGAGGCGGCGTCCTGGGTGAACAAGAACGTGATGCAGTTCCTCCCCAACACCAACATCACCGGGATCGCAGTGGGCAGCGAGGTCCTCACCGACGGCACCGCCAGCCTCTACGCCTCCATCCTCGTCGCCACCATGAAGTACATCCACGCCGCGCTGGTGGCCGCCAACATCGACAGCCAGATCAAAGTCTCGACGCCACACTCCACCGTCCTCATCCAGGATCCATTCCCTCCCTCCCGGGCCTTCTTCGATCAGACGTATGCCAAGACGGTGGTGCTGCCACTGCTGGATTTCCTCTCCCAGACAGGTTCTTATTTCATGCTCAATATTTATCCTCTGGCTATATACCAGCAGAATCGACAGGTGATGTCCATCGACTATGCCTTGCTCCGCCCCAACGCTGGCATCCAGGACACCATCACCAAGCTCACTTACACCAACGTCTTCGACCAGATGCTCGACGCTGCGTTTAGCGCCATGGGGGCGCTAAACCACACAGATGTGGGCATCGTCGTGAGCGAGACCGGGTGGCCTTCCAGGGGTGATGTCACAGAGGTCGGGGTAGGAGTTGACAATGCGGAAACTTACAACAACAACCTTGTCCGGCACATCCTCAACAACACTGGGACTCCCAGGAGGCCCGGCATTGCGGTGAATGCTTACATCTACGAGATCTTCAACGAGGACCGGAGGCAGGGGGCCACTTCCGAGAAGAACTATGGGATCTACTATCCGGACCAGACACCGGTGTATAGTTTGGACGTTACCGGGAGGGACTCGGGTGGAGCCGGATCAAACACGTCAGTTAGAACATGGTGTGTCGCCAAGCAGGGCGTAAGCGACAACAGCCTCCAGGCGGCACTGGACTATGCGTGCGGCCAAGGCAGTGCGGATTGCTCCAGCATCCAGCCAGGCCAGGCGTGTTTCTTCCCGGATTCGGTCTTTTCTCATGCATCCTTCGCTTTCAACAGTTATTATCTTAAGAACAAAATGGCAGCTGGGACCTGTGATTTTGCCGGAGTTGCGACTGTCACCACAAACGATCCAAGTATGTCCAAATCTTCTTTTGCTTTCTTTTTTGCTCTTACAAGCTTGGTTCTCGTTTGTCGCTCTTTCAGGTAGTGGACAATGCTCATTTCCCTCAAGGTAATACTATTGCACGTCGTTGTTTACCCGTGCTCATGACCGTTTGGTTCTTGCAGCTTACCACCCACGGTAAATGCTACCGTTGGAAACCTGACCAGTAGTACCAGTAGCTCGGAGCCGCTACTGGCGAGCTTGGCTCTATGTTCAGTCGCGACGATCTTCCCGCTTTTGATCAATTCCAGACTGCTCTTCTGAGGATCCAGCAGGTACCACCCCGGCTTTTTCTTTGTTTTTAACTCTTCATTCTCTTTTCTCATCCAGTTGCGCGTCTCAATCATGTGTGTCAAGGCAAGCAAAGCGCTGGCAAAGCGAAAAGGAAAAGCTATTCACGAGCACTTTCCACGTTTTGGGATGTTGTGGAACGGAGAACGAAGTTGTAGAACAATGGTTGGACTGGATTTGACTTCTCGGTCGGCTCTTTGGGACGTGCGAATAAAAAAGAACTTCACAAAGAGGGAGAGCTTCTCAAGAGAGATGCAGAGGTAAGCAAGCTAGCAGCAAAAGGTGAGATCTAGGCAGAAGATTTACTTACTGGACATCAAATTGACTCACCCGTATCTATCTATCATATAATTTCGTGCCAAGTGGCTGGGATTCCTGTCTGTGAGTGTATCAGTAGCTAAAGTTACCAGAAGAGCGGCACTGACAAACACCAGCTATAGAGGTATGTTTCACTTTTTCTAGTATTTCGCCTTGACCCGAAATTCAAAGACATCAAAGTAGCAAGGAGCGCATGAAGACAGGCAGCAAGGAATTGGAGCTCAAGAAAGTCGCTCTGTGCTGATCAGATCGAGTAGAGACTGCGTCCACTGAGCGCGCAAGCAAACGCGCTCCCAGCAAGCAACCGTGACGTCCGATGCGCCATCACGACTAGACACGAAATCTCGAAACTCCTCGGCTATTTCTCTGCTGCACATCTGCCGAGAAGAACAGGAAGAAAGAACGAAGTTTAGCTCAAATCTAGATTCAAACATTCGTAACACGATTCTTACATGAGCAGTGACCGAGTAGAGAATCCGTTTCATGACGTAATTACTGCAGGCTTTTTCGTGAACCTTGTTCCAATTATCCTTTTTTTCGGAAAGAAAAAAAAGTAAATTTGTGTCTTTTTAATCTCAAATGTAACAACACTTTCTACCTTGAGCCACGACCAAGCTGTGAGACAACCTTGCTCGTTCACTCCCTCAAAAACGAGATTTATGTGCTGGGCTAGAACCTGCTTACATACCAATGAATCATAATCTCCAAAGAAGTAATACCAAGTAACCAACCTTTGGTGACAAAGCAAACTCAAGGGCCTCGCGTACCATAGCTGGATCATTAGATCCGGCTAGTAAACCTGACCATGTTTTATCTATCAATCACGAGCACGAAGTTAAACGGCTGGCTTACTTAAGATCTCCACGCGCTCCGCGATGGATGTGGAGCCTTCGAACTGCGATATCAGCGCATCAAAGCTTCCTCGGTTTGTAGACGACACGTCCTTGACTGCGTTCCGGAGAACTGCCTGGAAATGGAATAAGGTCAGTCGGGCGGCTTTGCTCGATTGCGCGCGCTAAATGGAGAAAAGAAAACCGTAGTCAGATCAGAAGGGATTGCGGTCTCGAAGCGAGTGTCAAACCGCCTCTCGGCTTCCGAGCAAGTTTCGTCATGGTCCAGCCTCACAAGCGCATCCAAAATGCGTCCTCTCACCGCTGCAAACAAGTGTCCCTCGCATTCTGTAGCCTCCCAGCCAATGCGCCTGACCAAATCGGGCTCGACTTATACGAGAATTGAAATAGAACCAAAGGAAAAACAAGCAAACCTTGCTGGAGTTTCTAGCAATGACGCTAGCCGCTGCTTGACGTCTCCAAAAGCTTCCGGTTTTTCGGAGAGGATGCCACTCGTTACGTCAACCACAATCTGGACCAAAGCATAATATATAACTCTGAGAGATCATTTCTACGGGTTTTTCCATCAACCATACCTCCACCAACGTCGATATGACTAGAGGATGGCCTTCATTCCTGTACGATTCGAGCAGACTAAATAGCTCACTAGGATCCTCTTTACCAGCGCGGCAAAGAGCGTGCATGTCTTTCAGGAGTCCTGCAAAACGATTTTAGTTGGCAAAATCAGAAAAGGAAATCCATCATCACCTAGTCGATCGACAGGCTCCAAGCTGCCAGAGGAGACCGCTTCTCGCAAAAGCCGCAGCATATCCTTGTCATACTGTACTCGAAAGAATCCCGTCTCTCCAGCGTTCACCTTGATCCAGCCTGAGAACCCTTCGTGCTTCACGGTCGAGCGCTCCTCAACCAGCAAATGACTCGTGCACGAGCGTGACTCCTCCACACCCGAGCAAATCAAAACCGGAACGATCCACTTGCCTGGAACATCTCGGCCATTTGCCATGAAACGAGCCTGTAGAACAAACACACACATCAAAAGAAAAACAAAACGCTGTTGCTGATCGAACCTGCTCAAGCTGAACGTCGGTGGTGTTTTCCAAGAGACTCGCTTTCACAACGGGGAAGCCTTCTTCCTTTGTCCAGCAATGCATAAGCTGCTTTATGGGCTTGCCAGTCACCTCTTCGAATACGCTCCATAGATCACTGGAGGTGGCATTGCCAAAAGCAAACTTTTTCACATAAGCTCTGAGTCCTTCCTGCACAACTACGTTCCATTTTGCAAACAAACGCTACAAATATGGTTTTTAACCTTGAGTTCTTCGTGGCCAAGGTATGACTGAAGCATGTGTAACAGCGATGCACCTTTGAAGTAACTTATGCTGTCCATCGGGGTGTCAACGTTAATGTTCCTCACCTCTACCTGAACGAGAAAGGGATTCCGGTTTCCAGAGTTCGCGAGTTTATAGGCGAAGTACCTCGACGGGATGTGTTCCTTCTAGACTATCAAACCGGAAGGCGTCAGACCTGGCCCAATTCTGAAAATCCATCCACATTTCCCATTCCGGGAACAAGTAGTCCACTGCGTAGCAGCTCATCTGAAGAGGTGACCGCACTGTTTAGTAGGAAGAAGAAGCAAAAAACGATAGTCACCCAGGTAGCCATTCCCTCGTTAAGCCAAAGGTGAGTCCACCATTCCAGTGTGACAATGTTGCCAAACCACATATGGGCAATCTCGTGAGCAGTGTCGCAAGCAACCTGAAGAAATTCATTTGTTTCTAGAGGAAAAAAAAAAAGGGAGTGTTTACCCTTTGTCTCAGCCAAGCTGGTGAGTTCTCGTCGGCGTACAAGGCCTCCTCCCTGTACACAATGCAGCCAAAGTTCTCCAAGGCACCAGTCTTAAACTCTGGGACTGCAACAGCGTCGAGCTTTGGAAGCGGGTAAGGCAGCTGGAAAAACCTGCAAGAACAAGAGAATCGATCAAACTACAAGATGATTTCTTACGATTTCTTACTCGGCAAAAAAAGGTAGCAGCTTGAGAATTATGTTGAGCACAAATCTTCCTTTCTCCTGGTAGCCCCGCCTTGTATAAACTCGCACAGGCACGCCTAGAGACAACGAACACAAAATAGATTTTCAAAAACGAAGTGAGAATGTTTGCTCACCGTCGTCGCTTGTCCCTTCCAGGTAATCAAATTCCCCGACGACAATGGCGATGATGTACGTGGACATACGCACGGTCTCCTCGAACTCCACCGTCTTCGTGCCGTCGCAATTGATCGTATCGTGAACAACTGGCATATTAGAGAGCACCTGGCGATCGGATGGAGCGTGAACTTTAAACGTAAAGGTTGCCTGGAAGAATTATGATATGAGAGCGATCAATCACTGCGTTGTTACCTTAAAGTCTGGCTCATCCCAGCAAGGAAAACACCTTCTTGCATTGCCGGGCTCGAAGTCAGTGGCGGCCATGTATCTTTTGGTGCCATTAACTTCATAGGAACTGGCAAAAACTCCTCCATGAGAAAAAAAAAAAAACTGAAAAGAAGAATGCGAACCCTTCGTAGAAGCCTTTCAGGCTTTTGTTTAGTGATCCGTGATAGTCGATCGTTAGCACCAGCGGGCTTCCCACCACGAGAGCATCGTCCCCATCAAACCCAACGATTAGAAGCTCGTTTTCCTTGTCTTCTTCCACGGACTTGATCGGGAGCACCTGGTAGAAAAACGAAGCTTAAAGACACCATACTCTTTTCGCATACCGTGCTATCGAGCAAGCTCGCCAAGACGCTGTCAATGGTAAGATCTGCGGTGTTGAGTTGTACCACGCTGGTAACCGCAGTGACATCGAGGGAGACCCTCACCCTGCCTTGGAACTCACAAGACTCAAGATTCACCCAAAGCTCGACATTGTAAGTTTGAGGTACCACAATCCTTGGCAACCTCATCACACCCACACACACCCTCACACACAGACACACAGAACTTTAGAACTTTCCAAACTAAATCGGGCGCTGCAATTTTATCGTGGGACAAACCAAACCAAGAGTGTTGTACCCATACACACGAAGGAGGAGCGCTTGTACGTTGCTCCCGCAAAGAGAAAAGAGCGCTTGTACATTGTGCTATAGAACAATTATATAAAAGAACTAGTTATTGAGTACCTCAACACAGATCCAATATGGTACTCTCCTTTCTGGTAGCTGCTCTTCTTGCACTCACACTAGAATAAAGATCACATCTAACCAAAGCATTTCAATAAAAATTCCGGGTCATCATTTCCTATACTAATCCTAAAATTATAGAGAAATCGCAAATGGTGGTGGCCGATTCTCTCGAATCGGATGCTCTGGGCCACTTTCATCTTGGCGCTGGATTCCTTGGGGATTTCCACGACAAAGCGGCAGATCTAGCAGCCGATCGAGCAAGCATACTCGCTCCAAGCAGTCATCTAATCGTCCGATAGCAAACAAATCATCTAGTTGTATTTTTTCACGTGAGCGATAGATCACCCGCGGGAACAGACCTGGTCACAAGCTTCACCCACGCTTGGTGCGTCTCTTGGATCACCTTGAGCGCGTAATCCTTCCCGGCGGCCTTGTTCCCCAGCCCGAATCGGTTCTGCGGCTTCCCATCCGGGACCTTGTAATCCCGGAACCAGTCCCGGATCTCCGTGAGCGTCCCCGGGAAGTAGTACTCCACGTCGCTCTCGTCATTCACAAGCGCCGCCTTGGGATCGTCCACCGAGATGGCGATCACCTTCCAGTCCAGCTCCCCCTCGTCGATCATGGCGAGAACAGCCACTGGCTTGACGCGCAGGATCTCGCCCAGCCCCGCCCTGCGCTCGCCAATCTCCACCACGTCCACGGGGTCGTTGTCTCCCAGCGCGCCCTCCACTTCCGGGTTGGCGTGGTTTGGATCCTCCCAGGTTTGCGGGAGGAGGCCATAGTTCCAGCGGATGTTGTAGGGATAGAACCGGAGCTTGCCCTTCTTGATGTCCTGCTTGATCGGCGTGAAGGGCTCGTCAGTGGCCACTTCCATCTTGGCGCTGGACTCCTTGGGGATTTCCACCACGAAGTGGAAGATCTCGCCGCCGCCAAGCGGGGATTTCAGCGGGACGTCGTGCCATGGCGACAAGGTCTTGCCGTTTGCCCCAAGCAAGAATGCCCTGTAGCCCATGCTCTGGGCCTCGCCCTGCTCGCGCACCTGGTAATCCGAGCTCTGCTGCTGGCCCTTGCCTTGATCGACATCCTTGACGGACTGCTCCAGCGCCCTGGAAATCGCCGATCCACGGCGAGGGAGGAGCTGCTTGGACGAGAGAGCGTGCTGCGACGGCTTGAGGAAGCCGACCCTTGCCGCGCCAATTGCGATGCCCGCATTGTACCTGGAAGAGACGAATGGGAGCTGGAGTGACGCCCCGGCACCAGTCACACGGAGAGCCGCCATAGCCTCGCCACTCAAATTGGATTGGAGCCCTAGAATTCCAAAAGCCTATTCTACCATCTAACGGTCTTGATAATTGTTGACTTAAAAACGAATTAATTACTTTATTTTCACATCTTTCTGCCGACCGTGGGGCTCGAACCCACGACCACAAGGTTAAGAGCCTTGCGCTCTACCAACTGAGCTAGGCCGGCTTATGCCTTTAATCAGTATCAGTTATTTTTAAGCGGATATTTATTTAAACAAAAGCTACGTTAGAACTTTCTCGTATTGTCTTGTCACCAAAATCGCTCGACATATTGCTAGAAAGATCAACTAGAGATCTGGCAGGCTTTAGCTCTCTCGATCGACTTCTCCTCTTCCTTCTCCCCCTAGGCTAGCATCGCGTGATTAAATACATGTTGTCAACGTGATCCACAAAGCTGGCCGGCTGGCTCGCTTCTAGGACGCAATCGTGGTAGCCGTGGTCGTCGTAGCAGTACTAGCACTAGCCGTTTGGAACGGGGCCTGTTGTTCCGGCGGTAGCATCACGCAAGCCGGTCCGAGCTCCGGCTTGCTCTGGTACTTCCTTTCATACTCGTGACTGACCCCAGACTGCTGCTCCTGCTGCTCCTGCTGCTGCTCAGCACTGATTCCTATTTTTTGCATCTTCATCCTGTCTCGGTAATCGCTTATTTCCCGTTTGTATCGCTCCTTGTCCTTGACCCCGCGCTCCTGATAAGGCTGCATGCACAGCGATAGCGTTAGCACCGCGAGAAACAAGAAAAAAAGTAAAACTCGAAACGGATGTAGCTCTTACAGATTTTTGCTCCTCGGTCATGCTACTCCACGTCTCCCCGATCATCTTGCTGATCTCTCTGTCCTTGTCTGGGTATACGAGCTTGAGCTTGGCTCGCTGCTCGGCAAAGAAGTAGTTGTAGCCGCTCCTGTTGAGCTTGGGTGCGTTGGGGTCTTTTCTGCGCATGCCGATTCGCTTTCGTCGCCTTCTCAGCCGCACGCCAACGTTTGCAGCTTCTGGAGTACTTCTACTCGTCGTGACTGCCGATGCATACTGTGGCACGGAAGAACCAACAGGGACGTGATATAGAACACCCCTGAACCTGTCGGATCCGATGACAACGGTGACTAGGTACCCGTGCTCAAACTTTTCTTCAATGGATCCGGTCACAATCTCCCCGATGTGCGCTTCAAGATCCACTGCCAATGCAAGAAAGCCTTTTGAGACTCAACTCCAACGAGTTTCTTCTTACCGTCAATTGCAGGCTGGAGTCGTCGCTTTTGCATCTTCGGCCCAAGCTCCAGCTCGTCCGAACGCACACCATTCTCTGGTAAAAGAAATCCCGGGCTTGGCGCCGGAAGAGGAGCTGCAACTTCATGGTTTTACAATTCCTGCCTCTTTACAAACTCCAATAAACTTACCAGGAGGAGACACAAGGCTTCCCTCAGCTCTGAAGAAATACACTTGCTCGTAATGATGGAGTAAGCTCGTGTAGTACTTCCGCAACACGAACGACGCACTTGTAGTCGTTCTGGGGAAATTGAACACCGCTTTGATGTCCTTCCACAGCCGGTCTTTGATAACCTGACAGCCGAGAACGCTATGAAATTAGCTCTCAAGCAACTTTAGCATGCCTTATAAAAGAACCTGTTCGAGACCTCCTCGAGCAGTAACTTCTTGATAAAGACGATACAAATCCAGCTGATTTCCTCCCATTCTTGGGCTCCTGGGAATCAACAACAGAGAAAGCCCACATTAATCCGGCACGAAGTGATAAAAAAAACTCTAAAGCTGTCACAATCCCTCAGAATCAAAAGAGATACAAAGCCCAGAAATCTAGCCATAGGAAAGCATATAATAATGGAACAAACAAACACAAGGAAGAAGGAAGACGAAACACAAGCGCAAGAGAGAAGAAAAAAAAAAGAGAAGGGAGAGAGAGAGGACACTCACGACATTCTACTGCCCATGGCTTCATGGAACTTGCAAAGCGTGTCCATGAAGAGCACCGGATCACGAGTCACTTCCTCATGCGTCGCAAGGGGCGGGGGATAGACCTGACCTCGCACGCAAATGGGCGTGGCCAGAGCTGGTGACGAGGACGAGGCGGTCGGCGATGCCAGACGAAACGCGAGAGGCCGGGCTTGCTCGGCCTCGGCGATCGCGCACCGTTGTAGCAATGTAGGCCCTGCCAATCTTAGAGCCAGTCTTTGCGCGCTCACCTCATTCTCGCCTCCACCGCGGCAATCCTGCTCCTGCTGCCGCGGCTGCTCCAGCGCATTCTTTGCAATCTCCTCCTCGGGCGCCGCCGGCACCCTGGCGCTGGCGGCCGCGAGTCTTGGATCGGAATCCTGCCCTGACAAATCTTGGATAATTCTTCCCAGCTCCAAAGAATGGCGCTGCTGCTGCTGCTGATCTGCCGCGCGCTGCGCGAAATACTTCCCCATGGCCGCCATCCGGGCGGCATCATCGTCTTCTTGAGCTTGGGCGCCCTTTGCCGCCATCGCCATAGGTAAAGCTTCAAGCTTGTACCGATTGAAAATAATATTTACCAGCCGCATAAAACGGACCACGCCATGCGGTTAAAAGAGAAATCCATGGTTACAATTACGGCCGCCACGCGCCACCATCCCCGCCCTCGCCCGCGCCCATCCAACGGCCAGCTTTACCCTTTACTCTTTTCCGTTATCTCCACAAAAACCCCATTTTCTTTAAATGGCGCGGTACGGCACGCCCATACTGGAGAAATGGACCCAAGATCCTCCGTACGCTTATTCAACGACCGCATTTTTAAATGTTGAGAAAAAATATAGAAGCGGCGGCGCACTCCAGGCCAGGAGGACTAGTCACTCGGAACTGCGACTACCAGTAGCCTTGCGCCACGTGTCAACAGAGCGTTTGACCAAACTCTGGCATCCACGCGTGACGCGGCCATTGGGCCTGGCCCGGAGAACCTCGTGTAGGACGACCTGTTACATAGGCTTGATTCAGGGGAATCTTCCCTGATAGACTATATACCACTGCTTGTGAGATCTAAAAAAAAAGATACTTATACCGTGGCTTGTGAGATGTGGAAAAAAATTTCTTGCTTACGTCCTTGGTCGAGTGTTTAGAAGCTCGTTCCTATGGAGTTGTAAGTGAAGGGAGAACCATAAGGAGCGCAAAGCCCAAGCTCTCTCATGATCTTCTTCCGGCGAAGATTGCGTTTGGGCTTTTGGTGGAGCCTTTCCTCCTCCTGTCATTAAAGTTTTTCAAGCGAGCTGAGAAAAGCGATGGTAGTCTATTTTCCAATTTATGATCATGTACCTCGTACAGGACTTTGGGTTTTCTCCTTCGTGTTGCAGTGTTGCGAGCTTCGCTTCCTGTCTCCTCCGAGGATTCCTTGCCTGCGAAGAGATCAAGAATCAACCATGCAAAAGGTACTTGAAACTCAAGTCACTCACCGTTTGCATGGGGAGTTTGGCATTCCTCCTGGAACGAGTGTCTCCACTTCAACGGGAGTTTCCGAAAGTCTCTGTACTCTAAAGCCTACAACGGCGGAAGTTGTGCATTAAATGTGCTCCCTCATATAGAAATGCTTTTTGCCCTCACCTCTTTCAATCCCTTTTGAAAGGCCTTGGTTGGAACTTGGCTCCTCCCGTCAAAATCCTGCATGGTACTGATGCTGTTTAGAACGTTTTAGAGAAGTTTAAAAAATTCGTACACTCGCACACTTACCACGTCGAACTTGGATAAGTCGCTGGCAGGATCAACCCATCCACTGCAATCGTTCAAATCACGCACGAATCAATACGATGTAACTTAAGGGATCAGGATGGATAACGAACTAGTTATAGTTGCCGAAGAAGCGCACCAACACATGATTCTTCGATTGCCGCGTTCTCTCGCTCATCGACTTCTCATCCGCAACCTTTTGAAGCAGTGTAAAACCAAATAATGACAGAAAAATCGTGCATTTCTACCTGAGCGGGCCACCAAGGAGAGCGGGAAAACTTCGCCCAAACAAGCTGGCCAGCTGACCAGGAAGCACAAGAGAGTGATGAGTCCCCATCGTCGCTCGCAATCGTGGAGTCTGTTGGTGATCTTTGGCAAGGCATCTCCGTGAAATCCCTTCAAATCACATAACAATGTGAAAGAACGAAAAATCGAAAGGAACACGAAAAAAAAAAAAAAAACACACCATACCTTCTCGACTGTGACTCCGAAGACTGAAGAACAGTGCTGCAAATCGCTGGCTCGTCTATAGTTCTAAAGCTACACTGCATTGTGTCATGGACATCTGCAAGAAAACATAGAAGGAAAACATCAAAAACGAAGAGTCCAAGGTGATCGAAAAAGAAATTTTTGGCTACCTGAGCATAGATCCCCGGACAGCGTGGAAGAGCCATCTGCGACAAACGAAGGAAAACACCTCCGACGCGCACGAGGAATCTCTTGCCGTCTCTTCTGCCGATGAACAGGGCCAAAGAGTGACGGTTCAAGGAATTGATCCTCCTGCTGCCCTAGCTCTCCCTCCTGATCTTCGTCAATCATCGGTTCTTCCTCTTGCTGCTGCTGCTGCTGCGTCGGCATTCCCACTCCCATCGCGAATGCAGGAGGAGAAATCTCCATCGCCAGCGCCATAGCTGCCAGCGAAACCCTCTCCTCTCTCGATTAGGGCTTGTCTCTCTTCCAAACAACTAACATTCCCTTCTTTTCCATTGTGCCAGCCCTAGCTATGGAGAGATTCAGCTGACCTCCTCGAAATTTAGGGTTCTTGGGAAGGGATGAGCGGCACTCCCTTCGTCATCGCCGCCGATGACGCCGAGCAGCAGCGATCCTCCTCAGGTATGAGCATCCAGGCCTTCCTCGGCAGCCTCGTGGAGCCGACGCGCGATCTGGCGCGCCCGCCGATCTCCAATTTCCGGGTCGGAGCAGTGGGGCTGGGATCCAGCGGGCGGGTCTTCCGGGGCGTCAATCTCGAGTTCCCGGGCCTGCCGCTCCACCATTCCGTCCACGCCGAGCAGTTCTTGGTTGCGAATCTGGCGCAGCACGGCGAGATTTCGATCGAGTTCTTGGCGGTCTCGGCCGCGCCTTGCGGCCACTGCCGCCAGTTCCTCCAGGAGCTCCGCGGAGCCAAGGATCTCGAGCTCTTCATTGTCGACGGTGAGAATTCCGAGACACAGCTTCTCTCCAGATTTCTTCCTCACCGGTTCGGCCCAGACGATCTTCTCGCGCAGGATCTCGACTTTCCCCTGCTGCTAGAGCCCAGGAACAATGGCTTGGTCTTGGAGGGACTAGATCACAAGTGCTACCGTGGTCGCGAGGAAGACGGTCTCGATCTCTCCGGACTGGAAGATGCGAGACTTAGAGACGCCGCGCTGGAGGCTGCGAACAAATCTTACGCTCCATACACCGGCTCTCCCTCCGGCGTAGCGATCTTCACCAGGAACGCCAGAGTTTTTTCCGGATCTTACTGCGAGTCTGCCGCTTTCAACCCGAGCTTGCCCCCTCTCCAGGCCGCCATTGTGGCTTTCGTCGCGAATGGTGGTGGTGGCTACCAAGACATCGTCTGTGCGGTTCTAGTGGAGACGAAGAACTCTTCCGTCCAGCAAGCTCCAACGACGAGGATGGCGCTGGATCAAATCAGCCCCCGGTGCCCGCTCCACGTCTACTACGCTGGATCTCCATCCAAGGATTGATGGAGCGCTTACTATCACATTCATCACAGGGAGACAATGACAACCCTTCAAACAATAATTTTTCCAGGAAGAGCTCTCAGATTCTCTCCAGATTGGATCCATTGCAATCGAAAGTGTCAAAGATCTCGGCTTGGTGATCACGAGAAATGAGATCCTCTAGATCGCAATGCCGCCGCGGAGGAGCGACAGCTATGGCTTTTACGCGCAGCTCATCCATCTCTGCCGCAGCGGGAAAGATTTATCCCGATGCAAGCGCGTCCACGAGCTCGTCCTCGAGAGCCAGTTCTCGCGCGACACATTTCTTCTCAATCTGCTGGTGGAGATGTATGGGCGATGTGGCCGCCTGGATCTCGCCAGGGCCGTGTTTGCCACCATTTCCAACCCGAATTCCTTCTCCTTCAACATCATCATCAGTGCTTGCATCCAAGGGAATGCCATCGACGAGGCTAGGCTCGTTTTTGACAAGATTTCTCAGCGCAATGTTGTAACATGGACCACCATTCTTTCAGCAAATGCCCAAAGCGGGAATCTGCTGGAAGCGGCAATGATTTTTGACAGAATGCCCCAGCACAATGTGATCACTTGGAACTCCTTTCTTGGTGGTTGCGCGCGGAACCAAGAGCTTTTCTCAGCCCTAAAATTGTTCGATCTAATGCCCGAAAGGAGCGTAATATCTTGGATCAATCTACTCACAGCACTCTCCCGCAAAGGGCATTTGCAGGAAGCCATTCGTACGTTCCTCCAAATGCCAGAATGGAATATGGTATCCTCCACGCTCGTGATAAACTGCTGCGCGGAGCTCCAGCACATCTCACGAGCCCGCGAGATCTTCGACCGGATGCCCGAGGCAGACGTCGTGACATGGACAACGATGATCGCTGCGTATGGCGAAATTGGAAATCTAGAGGAAGCCAAGAGACTCTTTGATTCGATGCCCAAGCCGGACACGGTGACCTGGACGACCATGGTCACGGCATATGCGCACCATGGTTTCATGGCCGAGGCGAGAGCTCTCTTTGACGCGATGCCATACCCCAATGTGGCATCTTGGAATGCGATGATCCACGGCTACTCCCACGCCGCCATGGCCGACGATGCACTAGATCTCTTCCAAGAGATGCCCAAGAGAGATATACTCTCCTGGAATGAGATGCTCGGGGCGTACGTCCACGGCGGGGATATTCCCTGCGCGGAGCTTCACTTTGAAAAGATGCCCGGCCACGGAGTGGCGGCGTGGACGAACCTGATTGTCGCGTACGTCCACGATGGACGGTTGGGTGATGCCGGGCGGGCGCTCGAGAGAATGCCCTCCAGGGATTGTTCCACGTGGCGGGCGCTGTTAGAGGCATATGCCCGTGGCGGGTATATTGGCTTGGCCGAAGCGAGCTTTCAGCGAATGCCGGAGCGCAACGTGGTTTGCTGGGGAGCGTTGATCTACGGGTATGCCGTGAGCGGCGATCGCGCGAGGGCCACTAGGGCATTTGGGGTGCTTAGCCTGGAAGGGTTTTGGCCGACGATCACGACGCTGGGGAGTGTGATGAGCGCCTTCTCTAGCGCTGGAATGGCCAAGGAATGCCGCGACTTCTTTGGAGCTATGGTGCTGGATTTTGGGCTAATGCCCAGAGTGGAGCATTACTGGCTGGTGGTAGACGCGCTTGGAAGGGCCGGTGATCGCGCCAAGGCCGAGGATTTGGCGCTAAGCATGCCCTTCCAATTGGACAATGTGGCTCGAGCGATCTTGCTAAGGTATGAAAAGTCTTCCCCAATTTAAAGGGAATGGCTTTGCCCTAAGATTCACATGAATATGCTCGCATTATTTTAAAAAGCTTTGGGTTTGATGTCGGGCGCCTTGGCTGTGGAGATGTCCGACTTCTCCCCGGCGGGGGCGCTCCCCGTGAGGCGGCCGCTCGGCAAGCGCAGGAATGGCGATGGCGATGGCGAGGTCGACCCGCTGCTGCCTGTTCCCGAGTTGGCGCCGGCTCCGAAGCCGTGGAAGGGTGCGCCCATCGTCGCTGCCCTGATCTGCGTTGCCTTCTTGATGCTCCAGATGCTTCCTGCGACGCATTATCGCCATCCAGCCGATCCCACTCGCACTTGGATTCCTATACGGCAAGAACAAGACCAGGTAGGAGCGATTTCTTTCGTTGTTGCACACCATTGATCTTTCATGGTTTGGACTTGGTATGTCTCTCTCTCATGCTCCACAGGGAGAAAGTGGGAAAGAAGTGGAAGAAGTGGATGCGAGGGAGTTCGTCACTGGCATCAAGAGCACTTCCATTGACTTGTTTGTTTGCACCGACGAGAAAGATTTGCGCCCTCTAGTCGTGGTCATCAACTCTACACTCGCCAACACCCGGTTCGTAGAAAACTCTTCTCTTCTTCCTTTTTCCACAGGGTGTTATTGGTTTTTCGTTATGGCAGTCACACGCAACGTATTCGATTCCATATCATCACCACTGAATCACAGCGAGAAGCGTGGTTGTCCAAACTCAAAGCTCTCTTTCCTCTTGCGGCCATCGATATGGTCAGGTGTGTTGTTCTTTCTTGTTCTCTTGGTTTTCAGTTTCTTTCTCTAGTTTCCTTGACATCGTTCTATTTCATGGCAGCGAAAAGATCGATTTCGAGGAAATCAGTAACCATGTCTTTTACCGAAAGGACAGCAAGGCAAGAGAAGCTCTTACAAGTCCATACAACTTTCTTCCCTTTTACCTTCCTCGCATGTTTCCAGGCATGCAAAGGATCATCTATCTCGACTCGGACGTCGTGGTTCAGGCAAGACTCTCGATCTTTGTCGTGTTTTAAATCCTTCTCACTTTTCTCTGGATTTTACACAGGGAGACATTGAAGAACTCTTCAACACTGACCTCGAAGATCACCCCGTGGCTGCCGTTGAAGATTGCTCCCAGATCTTCGGCAGCTATTTCAACTTTGATCTCCTTCACCGCATCCAGTCGCGAGAAGCGTCCGAGTCCACGCCTTGGATTCCGAGACAGCCATTCGATCCCACCGCCTGCATCTTCAACCGCGGGGTCCTGGTAATCGATCCTCGCAAGTGGATCGAGCATAACAGCACCGAAGCCATCGAGTGGTGGCTGGACGAGTTCCACCAAGCACAAAAGCCTCTATACAAGTAAGCTAGCGTTCCTTCTTTTCAACGTGTCCCGACTGTTTGATCGTGGCGCAACAGATATGGCGTTTCGCAGCCTCCATTCTTGCTAGCTCTCTACAACCACTACAAGAAGCTAGACACGGCATGGAACACACGCGGGCTGGGGCGAGCCGAGTTTAGCGAGGCGGAGCGAGACTACATGAAGAAGCTCTACTCAAAGAGGCCGCCAAGGAGGCCATTCGTGTCGCCCAACACGGAGCACTCCAAGATCCTCCACTTCAACGGCCGATTCAAGCCCTGGAATCGAGACTCATCGGTGGAGCAGCCACCCTCGCTCTGCGGCTCCAGATCCGAGGACTGTGCGCGCCTCTGGTGGGCTTACATATCTCCAAACGTGAGCGACAGTTTGAAACAGTGAAAAGTGAAGATTTAATCAACATCATATACTTTTTTGGCTATACTATGAAGGGGTGTGTCAAAAAATAGCTTGATCATGGACTATATGCAACTCTTTGAAAGTAAAAATACGAACTTCCAACTTTCATTGTTGCAAAGTTGCAATGAGAGTTTCTTTGAATTTCATGGTGAGGACCAGCTTTTGGATTCCTTTAGTTTCTTAGGAACACTTATAGGTGTGCCATGATCACACATTATAAGCAAATCTTCGAAAGCAAAAATGGGAATTTCAACTCTCATCGTCAAGGTCTTGAAACATTACCTTTTTTTTATGCACAGATAAATATTAAAGGTTAGATCAACTATACATCTTTTTTAGGGTTTATTCGCTATGAATTACCAAGCGCTACTCGAGGTTTTGTGGTCCACTCTTCCCCGCCCCAAGTATGCCACAGGAGGCGAGGTTGATGCCACGAAATTCGCCATGCCTACCTTCATGCAAGTGGAGGGCGCGGGTGATCTCCCCCTCCCTCTCTCCAATGATGGCTTCCTTAAGCTTAAGGCCGTGTCGCAGCAAGCACCCTACGGCAAGGGCGAGGAAACCCTGCTCGACACCGACGTGCGCCGTGCATGGCAAGTGGAGGCGTCCAAGGTGAGTTGCCCGCAAATCCCAGACTTCTTCTCAAAGGTGGTGCTCGACATGGCCGTTCCCGCGATGGAGGAGCTGGGGATCGACGCTGGCGCGCTTGGCTTGGACGTGAGACTGTATAAGCTGCTGCTGTATGAGCAGGGTGGCCACTTCGAGTTCCACAGGGATACCGAGAAGGAAGATGGCATGTTTGCGACGATGATCTTGCAGCTTCCAACGCAGTCCGGGCATGAGGGTGGCCAACTGGAGATCCGTCAAGGGAAGAAGAACAGTGTCAGTCTTGGTTTCTCCGGTGCTGCTTCGAGGTCGGGGTACTTCCAGATGGCTTTCTTCTGCGACTGCGAGCACAGGCTTGCCGAGGTGACGAGCGGGACGAGGCTGTGCCTGGTGTTCAGCCTGGTGAGGAGCAACACAAAGTTTATAGATGTGGATGCCCGCAAACTCCCACACTATGTATCAGCTGTTGGGAGCGTTCAGAGCCAGATGAAAGAATGGGCCGAGGAAACGAGACGCGTGACATCGCCAATTCTCGCGATTCCACTGGGCCACCAGTACTCTAACAACAGCTTGAGCTTCGCGGGGCTCAAGGGACACGACCGGGTTGTGGGGGCACTCGTGCTGAGCTGCGCAAGCTTTTTGGACGTCCACCTCTGCATGCTCGTGAAACACTCCACTGGATATGACACCGACTACGGCAGATGTGAGGACCATCGCTACAGTTTGGAAAACTGGACAACTCCAGACGATCAGAAGCCCGAGCTCGACACTGCAGATGACTTCCCTCTAGCTCAGGTTTTGAGGTACGAGAAAAGCGAAGACGATCCTTTTGGCGAATCGCCAGATGAGGAAGATTATGAGCCATACCAGGGGAATGAGGGCGGCAATACACACTCGTTCTATCACACCGCGGCTCTGGTGGTGTGGCCGAAGGAGAGCAGAATGGTGGCGCTGTGCAACACGCAAAGTATCAAAGCCGTGCGAAACTGGCTCGAGGAGCAGCACAAACGCGAGCCTGGGCGGACGAGAGGGGACTTAGAGAGATACTTGGCTGCTTTGACAAGAACAATCGGTTCCAGAACTGTAGCATGGATAAGATCGAAATGGTCTTTCGAAAGCCTGCTACAGTTCTGCCTCGAGCACGACTTTCGCGACGCAGCATTCTTGGTCATGAAGAACTTCATGGTCATAAAGACCTGGAATTTCTTGCCAAGAGCAGCACAGGATGTGGTTGCCGCGGTACAGAAGTATGGATGGGATGAATTATACAGCCAGGTGATTGCGAGGTTCTTAGAGGACGGAACTCTTTCCTGGCGGTTTGGAGCTTCACGTCTTGTCGAGTGTCTGAGAGAGAGTGGCTTCCAGGACGAGGGTGTAAGTTTAGCAAAGAAGCTCTTGGCCAAGGGTGGCGTCTCGGACGTGAAACGTTTTTCGCCCTTTTCTGTCGAGGATGAGCTCGAAGATGAGAAAAGTTTCCTGAGCTTTTTTGTCGAGTGTGGGCTCGAGGATGAGACATGGAAGATTGTGAGCATGGCATCCGGAGATTCTAAGTTTTCAGCCAACGACTTGGTCCAGGTAGTGAAGAAGTGGGGAGCGAGCAGCGTCCCTCGCATCGACGAGTTTTGGGAGAAGAGGCTGAAAATCAAAGAGGCTTCATGGGAGGAAACCTCGTCGAGCAACAGTTGGCAGACTAGATCACCTAAGGAGGAGCTCCGGCGAGAAGGATGGATAGATTTCTTGGGAGATTTTGCGATGTTTACGGTGGAGCTGGAGGCTCAAGGGTGTCACGATGCTGCGGTGACCTTTGCAAGCAAGAGATATGTCAAGGTTGCCAGCCTCGAGGAAGTCTATGGGAAGATCTTATTTAGCATAGAGAACCAGGATGCGCTTGCGATGCTCTTGGCTCTGGACAAGAAGACTGAGCAGACAGAAGACATGGTGGCGGCCATGAAAAAAGCAGCCAGGCTGATTGGCTTGAAGAAGGATGAGAAGGTGACGCAGCTCTTCTCGGATCTCTTGTCGCAAGCACTGGAGGCCAGTGCTGCCAACGAAGATAATCGCTACAAGGAGCTCTACGAAGCGGTGATTTGGCTAGGCCCTGCGGAAACGGTGAAATCTGTAGCGAAACGGGTGAGAAGTGGTAGTTTAGTGCTCCTGGACGACGAAAAAGAGGATAGCAGCCTGATCGAGAGAGCCAAGGAATGGGATGATGGTGAAAGAGATGGATTGAAGGAGGTGATCAAAGCCAGAATCCACTACTTGTCGGCCGATGAAGATGAAAAAGATAGAAACGCAGCGGAGAAGCGGAGGAGTAGCCTCAATCCAAGGATTAAGCGTGTCAGGTATGATGAAAAGCTGGAGGTATCACCCACCGAAATCGAGAGGCTTCGCAAGTTATTGAGCGACTTGCCTTGAACGATTTGGTTCTTTCTATTTCTTTCTTTCCTCGAGTAATTCTTCTATTCGTTTCCTTGTGTGTCTTCTCGAACGATTTGGTTCTTTCTATTTCTTTCTTTCCTCAAGTAATTCTTCTATTCGTTTCCTTGTGTGTCTTCTCGATGAATGGGCGCAAGTCATGAGCTCGAGCGGGTGGTGACGCTTCTCAGGGCGTGCGACCGCCTTGACGCGGGGAGAGAGGCGCACGGTTTCATCCGCAGCAGCCCCAGGCTATCCGGCAACAAGTATGTCGCCAATCTTCTCATCCAGATGTATGGCGGCTGCGGCAGCGCTCGCGACGCAAAGGAGGTTTTTGATGGCATCCAGCACCCAAACAAGTTCTCGTGGAATCTCATGATCCATGCCTATGCCCGGAACGGGTATCTGCAGCAGGCGAGGAGTTTGCTGCAGCAGATGCCGGATCCCACAATAGTGGCGTGGAATTCTGTTCTCGCAATGTACACACACAACGGCCTTTTGGATCAGGCGAGAGAGGTTTTCGACGAGATGCCGGAGAAGAACTCCGTGTCAAGAATCACAATGCTCTCTGCATATGCCCGTGCAGGGCATCTGGAAGAAGCAGAGGAATTGTTTGATCAGATTAACGAAAAGGACAGAGTGGCCAGGAATGCCATGATTGATGCATATGCACAGCACGGATTTTTAAAAAATGCCAAAGAATTATTTGACAGTATGTCTGAGGGAGAGAGAGATGTTGTCACCTGGACGTCCATGTTTTTGGCTTATGCCCAAAGCGGGCATATTGAGCAAGCAAAACGCCTGTTTGATTCCATGCCGTACAAGAACGTTGTCTCCTGGACAGGCATGGTGCGAGCATTTTCCGCGCATGGCCACTTGGATCAAGCAAGAAAAGTTTTTGATAATATCCCAGAAAAGAATCCAATCTCTTGGAACACAATAATCTCGGGCTATGTGGATGCCAAGCTTTTAGACGAGGCAAAGGAGCTTTTTGATGCTATGCCGGCGAAAATCAAAACTATTGTCACCTGGAATCTAATGCTCAAGTCCTACTCCCAGGCTGGGCTCACTCAAGAGACCGAGAGGATCTTTCGCAAGATGCCGTGGTGGGACGTTGTCTCGTGGTCGGCCATGGTGACGGTATATGCCGAGTCCAAGGATCTGGAAAATGCCCAAGAGAGATTCCATAGCATGCCCGAGCACAACCTCGTCACGGCGAATGTCTTGCTACAAGCATACGCTCTGCAAAGCAGCGTAGAAGCTACAAAAAGATTCTTTGACGGGCTACCGTACCACGACGTTGTGACGTGGACGGTGCTGATCCAGTCCTACGGGCACCATGGAGATGTGGGACTGGCCATGGCCACCTTTGATTCCATGCCCGTGGAACCCGATACGTTAGCTATCAATGCCGTGTTCCTTGCATATGCCGAGAATGGGCATCTTGAAGAAGCGAAGACTTTGTTTGACAAGATGTCTTATCAAGACATTGTGATTTGGAACGCTATGATGGATCTGTACGCGCAACTTGGATTCTTGCTTGAGGCTAAGAAAATGTTTCTTGAATGCCCAGATCGAAGCGTGGTATCGTGGAACACTATCATCTCTGCGTATGCCCACAATGGGTATCTGTGGGAAGCACAGCGAGCTTTTGATTCGTCTCCACTCGTGAGCAACGTCTCGTGGGGTGCGATTCTCGCGGCGTATGCCCAACGAGGGCATGCCGACGAGGCGATTTTGGTGTTCCACAGCATGGTGGTGGAAGCATTTTTGCCGGATGATCTCGGGTTTGGGAGCGTTCTCACCGCTTGCGGTCGCGAGGGATTGCTGGAAAAAGGCTGGTCTTGCTTCCAGTCCATGAGCTCCGATTTTGGCATCACTCCTTCGAGCCAGCACTACTGCTGCATGGTGGATGTTCTCGCGCGGAGCGGGGAGATTCATCGAGCCGAGGAGCTTGTCCGAGCTATGCCAGGCGATCCAGGTATTGTAGCCTGGGGAAGCTTGCTGGGCGCGAGTGATATTCAATGTGAGATGAATAGACGAGCGCTCACCGCTGCTCGGGAGCTCTCCGGCTTGGATCCAAGCATCGCGGCACCTTACATGATGCTTGCCAACATCTTCACCAAGAGCAAAAGATTTTGATTCAAACATGTATGATGATCATAGCGAGTTATACCTGTGAATCGTGTAAAGTGGTCACTTCCTTCTCACAGTTCTTCATCTAAGGGAAATCCATTTCTTTCCAGCGTGCCAGCAAGATCAAAACTTGGTCACCTCCGTGTGAGATTTCCTCCAGTGGATCGGGCAATGTTGGATAAGAGAATGTAGGGAGTGGAATCGCTCTCTGGAGCAGCGGCCCCCTCGAGCAAAAATTCACTCGCACTCCGAGCTCGCTCCGAGTCCGAGTGTGTTCTACACGCCCCCAGCAGCGTCTTCCATGACACACAGTCGGGCACGTAAGGCATGGAGTTGACGAGCTCCTCGGCCTTGCCAAGCTGCCCGGCTCTCCCAAACATATCCACAACGCAGCGAAAGTGTTCGAGGGTAAACGCCACGCCGAAGTCCGCTACCATGCACCACGAGTAGTGCTTGCACAGGCTCAAGCTCCCGCTCTGGCTGCACGAAGCGAGGACGTGCGAGAACGTCTGCTCGTCCGGCGGCCAGCCTTCGTTGAGCATCTGGTGGAAGAAATGGAGCGCATTGCGAAAGCTCCTGCCGGAGGTCAAGCCCGCGATCATACAGTTCCAAGTCACCGTCGTGTGCTCGGGATTTCTCGCAAAGATCGCCCACGCTTCGTGGATGTTCCCGCAGTGAGCGTACGTCTGGATCATCATCGACCACGCCATGGAGTTCCTCCGGGGCATGAGCTCGAAGATCTCTCTCGCAGCGAGCGCGTCACCGGAGACAGTGAAGGCCAGTAAGATCGCGTTCCAGGACACCGGGTCGAGCTCGGGCGTGGAGTGGAAGGCTTCGAGCGCTGCTTGGAAGCTCCCGGATTTGGCAAACGCCGTCACCACCGTGTTCCACGACACGACGTCATGGAATGGCATTTTGGAGAGCACGGCCTTTGCCTCGTCGAGACAGCCCTTGTCGGAATTGGCAGCGACAAGAGTGTTCCATGCCATCTTGTTGCGGGGACACATCTTGTCGAAGAGATCTTTGGCCTGGGACAAGTCCCCCAAGAGGGAGCACGCGGAAATGATCGTGTTCCACGCGCAAGAGCTCTTCTCCGGCATTGAATCGAAGAGCGCTCTAGACTTTTCCAAATGCCCGCTCGAGGCATACGCCAAAACCATGCTGTTCCACGCAATATGGTTCCATCGCGGCATCCGTGCAAACACTCGGTGCGCGTTGCTTGAACTTCTACTGTTGCAAAAGGTGGCGACCATAACCGACCACGAAACAAGATCGCGCTGAGGCATCACGAAAAAGAGATTCTCTACGTGCTCGATATGCCCCGACTGGGAATGCGCCGCCATGAAAGTCGACCACGACACAACCGTGTGCATTGGAGTCTTCTCAAAAACCTTCCTCGCGTCGGAAAGATCCCCGGCATCTGCAAGGGCCGCCAGCAGCGCGTTCCACGAGATGACGGTCCTCTCGGGCATCTCGGAGAAAATCTGTCTAGCGATCTCCAAATCCCCAGACTCGGCATATGCTGTCATGAGCGACGTCCACGACACGACGCTTCTCTCCGGGAGCCTATCAAACAGATATTTTGCGTGGCCAACATGCGCGATCCGTGCATGCGCTGTGATCATTGTGTTCCACGAAACCAAGTGCCTCGCGGGCATCAGATCAAACACCACGCTCGCTTCTTCAAGATTCCCGTTTTGGGCATAAGCTGCATGGAGGATCGACCACGAGTAGCCGTTGCGGGGCGAGATGCTAGCAAACGTCGCACACGCGTCGACGACGCTGCCGCATTTTCCATACATCTCCACCAGCCGATTGGCCAGGTAAGTCCTCGGAGCATCGCTCTCGGCGATGATCCGCGCGTGAACTTGTCTCGCAGCTCCCAGATCACACGCTTCGCCACAAGATCGAACGAGCTGCTCGAAGAAGCCACAAGAAGAGGGAGCGCATTGCCGCACTCTATCCATTCATCCATGACGATCATAAAACTCTCGAAAGGTATTCGATAAAAGGGGACTATAATAAATAGGAGAATACACTATGAGCTAGCAGAAACCAAAAGGGACAGATCTGTGATTTTCATCTTCTATACAGTACAGATACGCTTAGGCTGGGAGCATAAGAAAAACCCTCATCCTTTGGAGGTTCCAAGAATGCTTTTGTACAGTGCCTACGAATGAGCTCTAGTCTCTCTAGTCGAAGATTTTCTCTCCCGTGGCACAAGAATTCCAAAACAGCGTGCTCACAATGTACATGCCCGACGTAAGTAGCAAAACTGCTTGAAACGATCCAAGCCACTGGACCAAGTAGCCAGTTCCCACCGTGCTCACGATGGCCGCGAATGTTCCTGCCGTGTTTGACAAGCCTGGAAAGACGGACACCACATAAGTTGTCTCTCGAAAGAAACCATGGCCAAAGCTTACCGTGAAGAACTCCTGCGTAGCTTGGTGCGATCTCCTGTAGCAAGCACCCAAGAAAAATCAGATCTTTATATCAAAGTTGGGTCTTGATCTGACCTGGTAGTTCACCAAATAACCAGCTTGACTGAAGGCACTCAAGGCAACCGCGATTGTCAGCCACGTAGAAGCAATCGCCGGGTGTCGAGTAGAGTTTAATCCAATCAGTGCAACCGCAGGGCCCAGAAAACCGATGGACTGCATAGAGAAAGAAACAAGGATTAAAGATGCCAACCATCATAAAAGTAGCACTTTGCGCTTACCTGCATGATCTTCCTAACAGTCAAGACGCGCATGCCCGACGAGATCATCAGGTCGGACCAAGCTCCAGCAAAGTAGCCGGAAGCAGCCATTGTCGCCCATGGAACTGCGCTGAACCACGCGGCTTGCTTAAGATTGACCCCCAGAACCTGTACTTACAAAAGACAAAGAAGAATTTAGAACGAAATTCGAGACCAAAACTCTGAATTCTTTCTACAATACGTACTCGATTGAAGTACACGGGCATCCATGTCAAGATAATGAAATAGCCCTGCAACCGAACGAATGCCTTAGAAAAAGAAGAAGATAAACAAAAGAAAATTAAGCTTTTCTCACCCAGTTGTTCATAGCATTGGCAGCTATGATAGCCCAGCTCGGAAGTTTTGATAGCAGCAGTCGGAATGGTGGCATAGCCACCCGAGCCGTCACTTTCCTCTTGTCAGTTCCATTCTGGATGAAGAGAAGTTCGTTCCTAGTGATCGTCCCGTGGTTTTGCGGGTCTTTGGAGATATGCATGTACCAAAGCGAAAGCCAGGCCAGTCCCACCGTCCCAAATGCGTAGAACGGGCCATCAATGCCGAACCTCGACATGAGTATCGGTGTGAGGAGAAGGCCGGAAACGTTTCCGAGGTGAAAACCCCCCATCGCAATCGCGACGGCTTTTGCTCGCTCGGAGCTCGGAAACCATCTGTTACGAAAAAATTAAAAGAAGTCGTCCAGCTTTTAGCAGAAGTTTAGAAGTTCGCTCAAGACAAACCTGGAGACCATGTTGTTCATGCTAGGCATTGCTACTCCCTCTGCCAGGCCCATAAATACACGCACTGCTAAAAGCAAACCCAGAGACCGAGAAGCTGCCCAGGGAGTTATAAGCGTGGCTATGGACCAGAAGAAAACCCCCCATCCCATAACGCTCTTTCCGCCAAATCTATCTGCTAGAGCTCCACCGGGAATTGGTGACAACAAATATCCCCACAGAAAGGAAGACTGCAAGCGAAAAGTAGCAGCAAAGTTAAGACTCAACAATCGCAAAAGAGGAACTTTTCTGCTCTTACCTGAATAATTCCTGCAAAGCCGCTGCTCCAGTTGTGAGTAGCTGAGAGAGGGACAATAGCTACAGACATGATCACCCGAACTGCATTGCAAAGTCCCATCCCAAAGGCTAGCATTGCAGCCACCTTTATCCTTTCCGAGCTCAGCAGCGACAAGCCTGGAGCAGTGGACACGGCCCACTCGCGGGCAGCTAGAGCAGCCGAGGAAGGATCCGTAAAGTCCAAACTCTCCTCCGAAGAGATCACCTGAGCCTGACTTAAGAAATTCTCCCTCGTAGCTGTGCCAGCGCGAACATTTCTCGAGCTGTTGCCGCTGCTGCTGTCAATGTGCCTTGCACCAGTCGCGAGTCTTTTTCTCCTCCTCAGCGAGTAGACCCCTGGAGCAGCGAGGAACTGCTTCGATCCAATCCCACCCAGCCTCGCCCCCAAAACACCAGCATGCGCCGCCTTTGCACACTCCATCCCGGATGCGAGTGGATCAGAGCCACCACGAAAAGCTCGTTGGCTCAAGCACCAAAGTAAAAATCCACCTGGTGCAGTAGATGAGATAAGAAAATCTAGCAACTTGCAAAACAAAGATATATACGCTTGGCACTCCGGCGCTCCGGTGGAGCAAATTCACGTGCTTAGTTTAATCACCTGCCATTCCAATCCACATAGTCAGCCCAGCGAAAAGAGAGTTAAAAACCGAAAGAACAAACACATCGAACAACTCACTCACCTACTGAAACAACAGCAACGTGCCTCGTTGACCACCTTACAACAGCATGATCTGTTCGCAACGTAAAAGGTGGAGTACCAAAGAAGCTTATCCGGATCTCAACTTGCGCGAGAGGGCGATGTGCCATCCATCGCCTCGTTAAATGCAAGTGCCTGTTTGGGAGCGAAGTATCTGAGTCGTCTCTCTTGGCAGCCTTTTGGGAAACCGAGTATCAGCACCACCAGATGGAACGTCGACCAAGTGATAACCTGGATTTCACTCCCGCTTCTCCATTTTAGTGCCGTCATTCTTCCTTGACTTGTTCTTGAGCTCAACTACGCAGACACACGGGTTTGATGCGCATACGTCTTCCTGGCACCTCGAATATGACTTGAGGCTGAGTAGTAGTTTCCCGTCGACTGTTGTGTGTAAGAAAGGCGTCCACTCGAGCATCTGTAAAGGGGGCTCCTCGTTTTTGTTTGCTTGTGCTGGTCAGCTCCTTGTAAGTGAATTACAGATTCCAAATGCCACTTGTCAGCTTTGCTGTGTTGTCGTTACGAGATACCTTTCGGAGTGACAAATGCTTTCCTGTTTAGTGACCAAAGCTTCGCCAGAAGGCTCTCAACACTTCGCCGTCAACGAAAGGTCTCAAGGCCCACAGGGTACAATAGCTCTCGAGAGCTCCGGAGCGCGTCTCAAGGCTCAAGTCGTCTACAATTCTAGCCTGTCATTTGCAAAAGAATATCAAAACCAAAATCATTGAAACACGTATGAATTTACCTGCATTTCATAGTCCTGTTCGAGCATGGAGTACACAAGAGCCATCGTAGTGATTGTCTTCACCTTGTCCAGCATTTTTGAATCATCACCATCTTGCAAGGAAGAATTTAGTTTCTTGGTTTCATCGGGTATACCATCGATGAAGACTTCTGTAAAACCATCTAGGATTTTTTTGAGGACTTCCAAGCATCCGCGCACTGCAAAAAGTAAAAGAACAAAGTTGTAGAGCAGGCGCTTGAAACATATCACGAAAAATTACCAAACTTCACATGATCTCTCAGAGCTTTGATCGAGTTGTTCACTGGAGAAGACAAGAAACACGGGTAGTACATTGGAATCGAGAGGCCAAAGAAAAGAAATACTCACGTTTAGTGATACTGGATTTGTCACTGCTGCGATGCCGGCAGCCTGCTTCGATGTATCTCGACAATCTCACACTCTTATTCCTCGCAAAAATCCCCTTCAAAACCGCGGAGCTCTCCGCGAACGATGGCCTGCGGAGCATTTCTAAAACACTCATCAGAACACAACTAAAACAGTTTTACAAGGAAAAGCTGTACCGAGATTTTGCTGAAAACCAAGCAGCATCTGTGCGCTCGATCGCTGCGAACTCTCCAGCGCGATCCCTCTGCGACACCATTGCCAGTAAAAATCTAAACTAAAGAATGGAAAATGTAGCGACTACCTCTTCACGAACTCCTCCAAGGCGCCGCCTTGCTCCGACTCCATGAACAACCCTAAACCCTCCTCTCAAAATGAAATAATATGTTTCATCATTGTCCTTGGAGAAACCGAATGGATACCGATTCGTACGCGGATTTCTCTCTCTGTTGGACTGGGACTACTTGGGTGTAAATTTTTTGCTCTTGTTCTTCTCCTCCTCCTCCTTTTTCTTATTGTTTTGATACGATCTTTGGTCTTTGCTCTTGTCTCACTTGCTAAACAAACGAAACCACGTCGCTTGGCAGTAACAGAACAGCACCTGGCGTATTAGCAGCAGCCAAACTTCCTTGAAATCGTTGCAAATTTAATATTCGTATGGGTCTTCCAGGCTGGGCTCGCGTGGTAATCTGGGTTTTGCCAGGAAGAACAACCCAAGAAAAAAAGAAAAATGAAAGCTATAAAACACAAAAACCAATGCAATCCGAATCCAGATCAATCCAACCATGATTCCCACAAAGAAGAAAAATATCTATCGAGCTTTTCTTGCGATGGTGTGTCTTTGTTAATCGTCTCGATCACACTCTAACCACACTGACGCATTGTTTTAAGCATTTCCATTGTTTTTTCTACTTCTACACACACTGTCCACGGAGAAAAAACAAAAGAACCAGCCTGCCTTTACGTTATTTCGCTCCTGCTGCGAGCTTTTAAGTATGTGACGACCACATCCAGATTGCCACACTTGACAAAGGAAAACAAAACAAAACAAAAAAACTGCCCAGCTTGCGAGTGGATGGAAATGCTATGAAAACTTTTGCCTCGCGTGATCGGAAGTTTCAGAAGCTGAAGAAAGAATAGTTAGCTTGATCACGCTGGAGCCATGAAAGATTATAAGTTTTTTGATCGATCGATCTTATGTGTCTTTCACTTTCTCTTCCAGCTCTTTCTTTCTTCCCGCCCTCGATGAATGTCGCGGATGGAGACGACTTTAAACTCCAATCCTCTCCGCTGTCACAAAACACGGATCACTCAAACGCTCGCTCCCACTTCTCTCTCACTCGCTTGTTTTGACGTGAATATATACGCTCAGTTCCATCGATCCAACCAAGCCTTCCCTGTGCTCTTGCCAGTTCTCCCACCAGTTCTTCCTCTCTTTTTCTTTCTTCCATCAAGTCCACAGACGTTACAGTTCCATGTTTTAATGGTGTTTGCAGGCAATAGTGTCTTACACGCGCATATTCCACTGCCAAGACTCTCCCTCTTTCACTCGCGCATAATAGACCACCTGACTGGTTATAATCAAGCATTAAATCGATAAAATAAGTTCCTTGGCAGCAATGGCTATGGCATCGCACTCACCTCATTCATTCTTTCGCATGCTAAATAAGCGCGAAGGCTTCACTCACAATTACGCTTTTGTTATTCCTTTCGAGGTCAACAAGGAAGGAAGAATTTCTTTTTAAGTACCATCGCATTCGCCGCGACGCGATCGCACCGCTTAAGCCGAGTTTACGTCCCTCTCAAGCTCTCACACACCGAGATATCTCACGCGCCAGCCAGCGGCTAAACGGGAGAGCGGAGAAGAAGCTAGAGCTCTAGGTGGCTAGCAGCGTTAGATTTTCGATCTGACACACACAAACACTCGCACACCTCCAATCCAAGTTTCAGAGTTTTGGAATTTAGATCGCTCACTAGTGGTATTTACAAAGTTTTTCCTGTGTGCAGGATTCACAAGGATCACTGGTGTCACAGTGAGGAGACTCTCTACAGAACTTGTCACAAATCTTGTGTCAAAGATCGATTTTTTCTAAGCCAGCAGCCAAAAGTTCTTTTGCCACTTGCTGTTGATGAGATATCCTCCGCAGTGTTTGCTCTTCCGCCGGACGGACAGCGTGAGGCAATCGGCGTGCTGGATGCAGTAGTCTATGGATTGGTCGTCTCTGTTCCATCTCAAGCACCTGGAATTAAGATAAGAGTTCTCTGAGCGATCAAAGATTCTGGCAACGCAACTTGTGGAAAGCACTAAAACTCATGGAAAGGACTTTTAATGCGCAGGAGGAGCGAAGTACCTCTGGAAAAAGTTGAGCTTCTTCTGACCCAGTACGAGGATCGACGCGTCCAGCTTCTTGGCTTGGCGGACGATTGTCGGCCCCCTCTCGCCGGCGACCACCACCACTTCCACATCCACCTGACGAGATCCATCATCACCAAGTTTAGAGGCCAAGAACACTCATCGACAAAAGCAAAAGATCTCGCAAACCTCGGGTTGACGCAGCGCGCAAAGATTCTTGAGCGAAGCGATGAGCTCGCAGCCTTTCTCCTCGGATCTCAGCCTCGTCTTATCCGAGACAATTGCTCGCGAATCTGCCAAGATCATCGAAACAACACGCGAGTAAGACACCCACATTGTCTGGATATGGCGACAACCTTGCGAATCGTAGACGAAGGGCTGCGAAGAACAAGGAGTGGAGTACAAGACGTGGAGGAGCGTCACAACGTCGAGCTTGTGGACAACGTGAGAGAGCGCCCAGAGGAGCGCCGTCTTGGCCTCGCGGGAATCGTCCACCACCACCATGACGCGCTTCCTTGCCACCGCTTGCACGCCATGGAACGCTGCTCCTCCTCCTCCACCTCCGCCCCATTCCTCGCCATGGACGCTGGACGATCTAATCGACGCGCTGGGCGCGATCGCCGTGGCGATGGCGCCGCAGGTGCTGCCACTGCTGGAGCAAAAGCTGGAGCTGCTAGTGGCCGCTGTTCTTGACGAGCCCGAGGAGGAATCGGTGGACTCCACCATCATGGCTCGCTCCTCCTCTTCCTGTACTTCTTCCATCTCATTCTCCTTCACATCCTCTCCATCGCCGCGCGCGTGAGCTGCATTGGAGGATGAGAAGCAGAGCTCCACCAGGCGAGCTCGCTTCATGGCGCGGTGGAGGAATGGCTGCTCTTGCTGCTGCTGGCGCTGCTGCGGCTGGTTCTTCTTGCTCCACGCCGGGAATCCAACAATCCATGGGCGCCGGCTGCTACTACTCCTGCCCATGAATGGTTTCATCGATCGCTCTTGCCAAGAAAGAGCCAAGGAGAGAGAAGGAGAGAAACAAAGAGTGGAGCGAGAGCTCCTTTCTTGGCTTGCAAGCGAACAAAAAGAAATAAAGAAGCTAAAAGCCCAGAGGAGAAAGAGAAAGCCCCTCTCTCCAGCGAGAGAGAGAGGGGATTGGTAATCGATGTCTGCTAGCACCAGCGCAAAAGTGAACCGCATGGTGTGCCCGTCGTCCTCGCGCGCCTGGTCGAGCGAGACAAACTGTCCCGGGAAGAAACCGACATAGCCCGCGCGCTCGCTTCCTCTTTTGCTGTTGGGCGGCCGCAGTCTCACAAATGCGACCCAGTGAATCGAGAGAGAGAGAGAGAGAGAGAGGAGAAAACGAAGCAGCAATCCCTTTCGCGCTGCCTCTGTTTTTAGGGTTTATAGTTATTGCGAAAAAGTGGCCCCAATATTTGAGCTGTTACGTCTATGCTTCTCTTAACACCCAGGCCATCTCCCCTACGGGATAGATTTCAACAACAATCCCATCGGGAGGTTCTCGAATGGCAGGCTTGTCGTGGATTTCATATACTACCATGGATGTTTTGATCTTTTGATCATGAATCTCTGCAGCCCAACATATGTTTCCTCCAGCTTACCAGGGCGCCAACTTCGCGTCGGCCAGCAGCGGAATCATGTCCAACACACATATGGTACGTTAGTATTTTCTTTGGATCGAAACAATACAAGATTTCTCTTTTTTGCTCTCCACACAGACCGAAAACTTCAACAAGTTCAAGAGCACACTATAGTTTCCTGGGGTGTTGTGAACATCGAAGAAATCTTGACGCCATCCCGCGCTCCTCGCAAGTTGGAGAGAGCATGGATTTCAAGCCGCTATTGTAGGTAGCGGCCATGGATTGCGCTTGCGAGTTGCAGCTCCCGTCCTCGGCGTTGGCTGGAATGCAGCCTGTGGCGCTGAGGCCCACGATCACAAGCTTGCGAGCTCCATAGCCGTATAGTTTCTGCGAGCAGAAGTCACGAATCCACTGGATCCATGCGTGATTCTTCGAAGAGTTTTAGTGTACCTGGATGTGTTGGGAGAACAAGCCGTGGACAAAGGAAGGATCGTATGGCTGGCTTGTTTCCAGTGCAAATATAAGAGATGGACTTGGAGACGAGATCATTCGTTGTGGCTGGCTGTGTGATCATCATGACTTTGATCATAACTTGTATAGGATTCTATGATGCATCGACCGGGTGCTGCCTTGGAACTTGCCAAACTGGTGCCAAGTACTGTAGCGATCGATCGATCCCGGGATGGATTTCCACAACACGGAAGCGTTTAACGAGATGGCTTCCGGGAAGTGGTGGAGCCTCGCCCATGTCGATCCAATCTCCAATCTCAGTGAAAGTGATGATCATGGATCATTTTTTTTTTTTTTTTCTTCGAAGATTTTGGTTCTTGTTCAACAAACTCCCAAGAGTTCTTTACCAACGAATTAGGTCTTTTGTTTTCTAGGAAGAATGATGCTAGGAGGAGCATGTGTCGCGCCATCGGTCATTCCTCTTGGGCTTTCATCTCGAGCTCGTTTGGTCAGGCGGCCGCGCTTCGCAAGGTGCTCGACCAATGGATCACTGCATTCTTTTCCTCCTCCTCCTTCACAGGTAAGAAACGGTGAAAGAGTGTTTCGATTGTTCTAGCTTCTCTTGTGTAGCTTGTAGCGGCACAGGATTTTCGAACGCGAATGTAAGAATGGCTTCACCCATTTGGGCTTCGAAAATGTTTGGCTCTTTCTTCCCTTCGTCTTTTCAGCTTGGACAGGTTTAGAGGCCTTCTATGTTTCTTCAAAGAACAATTCAGTGAGTTTGGAAAGATCGAGTGGCCATCTTTTGACAACACGGTGCGTGGTTTTCTTCCTGAAAAAAACAAAGGAAGAAAAATTTGATCTTTGCTTTTCAGGTGAAAACGAGCCTGTTTGTCATTGCCTTGTCTTTCGTCCTCATCATCGCATTGACAGCTATGGACTCGGGCTACACGTTCGTTCTATCAAAGATGTTATAGCTCTCCCTAGATCGACAACTAGATTAAGAGTTTCTTCATTCCTCTAGTTTTGTCAAGCTCTAAGATGGTACACTTCTCTTTTACAGGTAGATCATCCTCGCTCTCTTCTACTTGGAGTCACTCTCTGATCAATCTTCTTTCGCTCGCTTTGTCGAGCTTTTCTACCATGAGCTTGAATGCCACCACGTCACACGGCAATCTGAGGCCTTCCTTGTGATCGAATCCAAACTCCTCGGCAGCTTTCTCGAGCAGCGCCTTGAACCAGGGGTGGCTTAGATGCCGAGCGCTCATCACGCACCGCCGCCTCTCCTCCCCGACGTACACCGCCAAGTATCCCTCCGGAACATCGTATGGAGCAGCAGCGCAGGAGGACCCGTTGTGATCTTCATCGTCGCTGCTGGATCCATTCCAGTCGCTGCAATCCCAGGTGCCGGAGGAGCTATACGAGAAGGAACCGTGTGAGCTGGAGCGGCATGAGGACGTGCTCAAGCTCACAGATCTGGCAAAGATGGACGAGCTGGCCCTGCATCTCCGCCGCCGCTGCAGCCTCGCCTTGATCTTCTCGACAATGCTAGTGATCGCCAGGCAACAATGACACTCTAGATGGAAAACAGTGGAAGAACAAACTAGAGAGAACAAAATGAAAGCAAAGAAAGGAAAGAGGACGAATACTTCTTTTCGAGGGTCGGCTTTTGGCTGGCCGTGTATATATGCGAAGGCAGAATACAAAAGGAGAAAGATTTGTAGCTTGTTTGTCCTTGGATTTCCCTGTAGAGCACGATCTTTCTCATTCTCTCACTGTCTGTCTCTCCTTTTATTTTTTGGATCATCGTTGTTGCACATACAACATTCCAGCACGGAAGACACTTGAAGCACCTTTTGCACAGGTCTATATTTCCAGAACGGAAGTACGCGTTTAAAAGGCTCGCCCAAGACACGATGTCGTGCTCGGGCATGGTATCAAACGCACACTTTGCCTCCTCAATATGCCCCGCTACGGCATGTACCGCAAGCAAAGCATTCCACGTCACGAGGTTTCGCACGGGCATCGTACGGAAAAGCTGCAGGGCCTGGTTGATGCATCCGTACTGTGAATATGCTTCCAGCAGAGGCGTGCAAGAGAAAACATCCCACTCTGGCATATCGTCGAAGATTTTCTTGACGCCATCAAGGTGCCCGCAAAGGGCATTTGCTGCGAGCATCGTGTTGAAGGAAACGAGATCTACCACTGGCATCAAGTCCAGCGATTGCTGCGCGCTCTGGAGATCGCTGGAGAGAGAAAAGAGGTCCAGCATTGTGTTCCATGAGACCATGTCGCGGCAAGGGATGAGATCAAAGAGGCGGCGCGCTTGGTCGAGATCCCCGTTTTGGGTGTAGGCCTTGAGCATGATGTTCCAGGAGAACGTGTTCGGGCACGGGATGCTATCGAAGACCCTGCGCGCTTCCTCCGGGCGCCCACAACGCCCATACAAGTGGACCAGGAGATTTCCCAGGAATCGATCGTCACGGAGCTGTGCCGAGGAGGATATCTGCGAATGGAGCTGGATTCCCCGGGCGAGATCCCTGGAATTGGCACACGAGCGCAGAAGTGAGGCGCAGCGCTCTCGGATCTCGTCCAGAGTCTCGCCCCCATGAAAAATCATGGACCGAGGAAACCGCGATTTTTAAACTTCTTTCTTTCCAGTCAAACACAGTTAACTGAAAGTCAAAGAAATTGCGGTGACTAGCTTCTATCCAGAGAAAGTTATGTCACCCATCTCAGTTGTGCGAATCCATATTCTATTTAGAATTTCGATACTTAGAGCTCAGCCTTCTTTGGATGATGTTTGATACAAGACGTCTGAACGTCCTGGACCTGTCGCAATATTAACAATGCTTTCTGTCCATTTATAAAAGGAGATTCTATGCTGGCTTGCATTTATAGAGATCCCAATTGCAAGTCTCAAGTAAAGCGCTCTAACCATATAAATTGGGTTCCCCTAATTTAGCTTGGACCAAATTTCTTCATGTTTTCTCTTGTCTTGTTGAAAACAGTGAAGATCTCTTCACTGCCTTAACTATATAGTGTATGTGAGCAGCCTATGATCCTTCGAAAGTTTGAAGATGTGTGGCCTGCTGTTGACATCGATCAGAATTTGGATCATCTGGATTGCACCCCAAAACCTGGATTTCCACTTTGGCTTTCGGGAAAATGCTAAAGTCTGAAGCAGTGGGGCAGCCTAGCAACAGCTCCAGGATCCACATCAAGATTTATATTCACGTGAAGTAACTTGCAATGTTGCAACTGACTCAACTTTGTTGCCTTTTAACTTGATCACATACTTCCAGTGCTACTTGTGATGGGGCATAGGCTAGGTACCACTTAAACAGTCGGTGAATCTTCCAACTTAGGAGCCTTGAAACACAGCCAAGCCCCTTGATATATATGAGATACCTTTGAGAGGGATCGAACCTTGGACTCTTATGGAAATTAGGTCCCAGCAAGGTATCCTGACGTGGGTTTGATGATGCAAAGGATTTGCCTGCTTGTCGCTCTTAAACATTTCCGATGCAGCAACAGAAAAACGGAGGCTGAAGACCAATGCGGGGACTTGGCTGCCATTGATCGGGTGACACAAGAGACAGCCTTGCTGGTGTCTGACTGTATTCCACGCAGCAGCTTCAGAGAGAAGGCACTGAGGCAGTTTTCAGATTATGACTAAAAGGGCACCACCACCACAGCTTCCACTTTGGAAAATCTAGATTGAAGCAGCACAAAGTGCTGGTGGATGCCTATCTTGCACTGAGGGTGTGTAAACCTACACATTGCCGCCCACCCTTGGGTTTGAACGCCACCACCATGATTCCAAAGTGTTCAGATATATTGCTGAAAAAAAAAGTAAACTCTTTGAACAAGAACCTCATGGTTTTGACCACATTTCCCATTGACAGAGTTGTGAATCTGAATCCATTGCCAGGTCAAAACTCCTACACTCTACACTAGAACTTACATATATACATTGTAGACCCCTTACCTGTATATAAATAAGCCTATTGACCAGTGGACTCTCATGTAACATAATACACCACCAAGCTAAATTCCCCCCCTCTAATAGGAAGGAAAGAGGGGCTGCCTCCCTCCCTTTCTTAAAGTCGTGATGCTGCAATCTCCATTCTTGCTCATCTGTGTTCAGCGTTTCGATCTTGTTCTTCCTCAAAACCCAGGACATTTCTTAGATAAATTTTCCCAAAGTCATTCTTCATCTTGCAGGAAGCACCTGTCTCAGCTGTTCCATTCTGTGACTTACTACTTCGTTGAGTCCTGGGGTACTCGCCTGACGAGGGGGTTTGTGGTAGCCAACAGCGAGATGAATGCTGCAAAGAAGCCACCTGCCTGTATGCTGATCAGTGCTGTGGAGAGGTATGATGACCAGCTGAATGTTTCTCATCACAGGAAGTGCTTCGATTTGGAGCCTGTTGCGGCAGAAGAGCAGCAGCTACCTTGCTGTGCAGAGTCTCTCAAGTTATAATTCATCTACACAATGTGTCACAACCAGCAAAGCAGAATCCTTTTTGGGTTACTGATTTAATATAGTTATATAACTTAAACAAATCATACTTAGGGAAAGAGTTTTACTTGGTTGAGTTCGGAGTTCTTGACAAATTCTAGAAACATTTGGATGTTTGATGATCTGAAACCAAAATCTACTTAAATTGAAATGATTTCAGCTGATGCAAGTTGTTCACTACCTCCATTGCCATCTCAACTCTAGAATGTTGGCAATGCCATAGAGGCTTCTAGTGAATCCTTTGCTGAATCCACTATAGATCCCACTATCTTTGCCTTTGATTAATGCTACAATATAGTATATTTTCCATCACTTGATTCACACACTCAGTTTACCCATCCATTTGAGGATGATTGCCACTCGAGAGTTTCAAAGTCACTTGCATAGCCTTCGCAAATTTCTTCTAAAATCCACTTATGAACTTTGAATCTCGATCACTAATGATGTCCTTCGGCAAATTAAAATCAGGAAAAACCTTCTCCAAGTAGATTACAGCCAAGATTGGGGTAGTGACAGTTTTTTGAATAGCCAACAATCGCACATACTTCGTCAATTAATCTACTATGACACATATTTGCTCCTTTTGCATCTGTGTTCGTGGTAATGAAGTCCATAGAGATATTACATCAACGGCTCTGAGGAATAAGTAAAGGTTGCAAAAGTCCCCCCGGCTTCTCCTGTGGCACCTTAACCCACTGACAAAGCTCATATGATTTACAATACCCAAGGATATCAACTTTCATATTCCTTTAATAAAAATTGCGCTTAATCAACTCATATATCTTCTTCCCCCAAAATGACCGGCCTTCAGATGATTATGATAGTGGAATAAAACTTGAGTAATTAACGCATCCACCCATGGCAAATATACACAGCCATTGTAATAAAGAATCCCATCCACCAATGAGAAAGGGGCTTTTATCTGGTCTCGCAAAGAGGCCACCTCAACATCCTAAGCTTGAGCATGCTCAGCCAACTACCCAAACTTGTTGACCACTTTACTCAAATGATGACAAAATCATGTTTATAACGCCGTCACATGATGAACATGAGATTGTGAGACACAAAATCCCTAAGCCCCAAAGTGGAGCCGGAAGGGTGCCATGTGTTGGTGGCCGAAGCGAAAACCAAACGAGCGTAAAACATTTGGACTAAAATGCTCCGACTTGAAAAGGTCAAGAGTGGGAGTGGAACTCCTAATGAAGTGCTTGAGGAATGAGCACAAAGCGAGCAATAAGCAAAGCTCCAAAAAGGGACCCGAGATGGACCCGAGATACACCCGAGATGGACCCGAGATGGAGTCTGAGATGGAGTCCGAGATGGACCCGAGATGGAGTCCGAGATGGAGTCCGAGATGGACCCGAGATAGAGTCCGAGATGGACCCGAGATGGAGTCCGAGATAGACCCGAGATGGAGTCCGAAATGGACCCGAGATGGAGTCCGAGATAGACCCGAGATGGACCCGAGATGGAGTCCGAGATGGACCCGAGATGGAGTCTGAGATGGAGTCCGAGATGGACCCGAGATGGAGTCCGAGATGGAGTCCGAGATGGACCCAGAGATGGAGTCTGAGATGGAGTCAGAGATGGAGTCCGAGATGGAGACCGAGATCGAGTCCGAGGCCGAGACCGAGACTGAGACCGAGTCCGGGTCCAAAACCGGGCCCGAGACCGATTCCGAGTCCGAGTTCGAGCCTGAGTCCGAGTTCGAATCCTAAAATAGGTAGTTGGGTAGTTGGGGGAAAGCCCAAAGCGATTTTCCCCCAGGGGGGGGGGGGGGGGGGGGCTACGGGGGGTTCCAAAAGTATAGTAGGGAGAGTGTGGGGGTTGGAGCCTAGTGGAGCTAGTTTGGCCAGGAAGGGCTAGTTTGGCCTAGGAAAGGCCAATTTGGCCCAGGAAGGCCATACCTAGTGTTGGGTGATGAATTAACCACTGGGAAGTCCAAGACTAGAGTGAATACGAACCGACAAGCGGGGTAACTTGGTGAAGTGTTCAAGAGTTAGTTCTAGTTCCCCCGAGAGATCGACTGGCCGATGCTCCCAATCCAAGTGTGGGTGGCACTACCTACTTGGATACCTAGTGTGGCTCAACGGAACCTCGCTCTAAGCCCATGGCTAGAGCACCCAAAGGCGGAAGGCGGGGAGAGTACCCATGAGGCCGCGTAGGGCCACGGTGTTCCGAAATGTTGTCCCAAAGGTCTAGACTGTGGAAAGGAAGAGGAGTAGTCCTCTGGTGTAGTGACCAAAGATACAGTCAAGTGGTGAGAAAGTCCCAGAGGACCATGGGATTTAGTGGTCGGGCCTGTGGGCCTCAATCCAGTGGCAGTGTTGGCGAACACGGCCATGGGCAGAAAGGGACTTGGTGAAGACCGGAAAAGGGATATTGGGGAAGGTTATTCCCCATGTTTGTGGGCATCCTAAGGATGCTAAGGAGTGGATTTGGAATGATCACTCATGGACAGATGGTCCAGTCCTTGAGAGATGGGACTGTGATGCAGGTGGTGTTAGACCACCGGTGTGACCAAGGTAAAGGGGCATGGCCTTAGCGTAACAGGCTGATATGTCGGTGGTACCTTGGGGTGTCGGTCTTAGGATTGGACACGTGGAGCACTTGGATTAAGTGCAAAGGTTGAGTGGCGGGGATGCCATTTTTGGGACTAGCAAGCCCAAGTTTGAAATAAGACTTATGGAGGTTGTGAGTGAGACTCCTCCAAGTGGTTGGAGGTGTGGTTAAGTGACTAAACTAGAATGGAAAATTTAGTCGCTTACAACTTGGTATCGAAGCTGTTCCTTAGTCCAACTTTTATTGGTGCTCAAGTATATCACCACGAGTGTTGGCATTGGAAGGTCTTAGGAGTGGGCCTATCCTTGAGGAGTAGCAGGTCAGGAAGACATAGCTCTCCACTATAGTTCATGTGTGAACTTGTAGGCGAGATGGTGGATAGAAAAGGGTCAATAATGGAACGACTTTGGGATCTTGGGAACAGTATAAGGGTTTCCTCAGAGGGTTGAGGATGTGATCCAAATGAGTGTTTGACTTAGCAAACTGGCTGATGTAGTTGTGGTAAACAACTACAATTGGGATCATGGGAAAGATGCAGACTCCAAAACAATAAAGGAGTCACAAGATTACCCTTATATGGTTGAGGCTGGTACTCATAAATTTGAGACTGAAATTGTTGACTGTGGGATGTCAAATACAGAAGAGGACACCAGTCCTTGAAATGGTAGCCGGGGCTACCTCTAATAAATGCTGGAACAACCCAAGGAGTTGGGGGTGTACTTAAAGATGAGTTGCTATTCTCATCACATGGACAAGTAGTCATAAGAGGCAAAGGTTAGCCCCAAGAAAATCATCAAGTGTCAGAGTAACACTTGCAAAGATTGTCCTTGGGAGTAAAACATGAATACAAGAAGTTGTATTCTAGAGAGTTGGCACCTCTAAGACTGAGACCTCATAGGTTCTTGGATTAGCAAAGTCCAAAATGCTGGATGACTCAAGCGAAGTCAGGGAATGGTCCTAAGGGATTAGTTGGAGCATTTGGACTGAGGGGTATAGTGCCTCATGAGGTATGGGGAGGATCATAAGATCCAAGTATGAGAACAGTAGGTATCTCATTGATGGCAGAATGTGCCATACTAAAGTTGTGGGAAAGGATGTTCCCAGGAAGGAAAGCAAACTTGTGGCCCAGGAGATTGGGTGCAAACACTAGTAAAGGTGTTCCCAAA